TGGTGTAAATAAAAGGGCAGTTTGGATAGAGGTAAGAGGTAGACATAGCAGCCAGAACTGAAAGCTTAATCTACAAACTATTAGAGCTGGATGGAACCGTAGAATTATCAAACATAATAGCCAGTAAGCATAGAATGGAAGATCACAGGATATCAGGACTTAGAAATCATAGACCAATCTCCTCACTTTGAAGATATCTATATGTGCACATATATAGAGCAGGTGTAGTTTGGGGGTGGGGAGGATATGGGGTGTGTTGTTAGGCCCAGATATCTTGCCCCTATATATTTATAGAACTTGATAGTAGGCCAGAGCAGCAGGGTAATTATGGACTAATTAGCATATATGCAAATGAAGTAACCTATATACACTGAGTGGAGGCAGATTATTATTTATTTCTTTTTTTCCCTCTCCCTCTCTTCCTTCCCGGGCAACAGCTCCTGCTCCTCTGAGCTCATACCAGCAATTATCTGACATTATAAGAGGGGCTGGAATAGGGGAGGAGGGAGTAGGGACAGAAAAAAAACCCAACACTCGATTTATCTCGTTTTACTTTATGTCATTCTCAGAAGGGTGGGCAGAGACTTAGAAGCCTCTGAATTAACAAAAGGGGAGCAAGGTCAGGGGGCTTGGGGGTGAGGTGGGAATCAGAGAGATAGAATCTAAGATGGAGATGGACAGGGAGATAGAGACCGAAAAACCCAGAGACACGAACAGATAGGGGAGACAGAGAGATAGAAGATCTAGAGAGACATGGAAATGCACAGTCTGTAGATTTGGAGATCACCTTTCCAGATTAAACTCAGGCTGAAAGCAGAAGAGTATGAGGGATTGTCACCCATTCTATACTTCCTCTCCAGGCTTGGGCTCCTATCTTTCCCTACCTAGTCCCCACCTTTTTATCTCTACGCACAATACTCCCATCTATAAAATGACCATGGGATCAACAAAGCACTGGGATGAAAGTGGGCTTTTTTTCTCTCCCTTAGGACAGAGCTGGGGAGCTTAGATTCACCGCTTAGTAGCCTCATTTCCTTCCCTCACCCCCGCCAAGTCCCCTCTTTACAGAAAGACCAGCTTCAAGGCTATGTCTTTCTCTGTTCGTCTTCGTCTCTGAGCCTCTCAATGTTTTCCGGCCTCTAGATTGTCTTTTCATATATCTCTGTCCACCTCTCAGAAAAATGTTTGGGGCACGGAATCTTTAAACTGTCAGCTACTCTTCCCACCATCGTTCAATTTAAATAGCAAGAAAAAAGACTCGCTCCTCAGTCTCGTGCCTACAGATCCCGCCGCCCCTTGGCTTCAACCCCTGGGCCCTGGTCAGCTCCCTTGGCCGAGGTTCTGAAACTAGTGACTGGTATTCTGAAGGGTAGCCTCTGCTTCTTTCTCAGTCCTCTGCCTCCTACGAAGCTCCCCAGAGATCTTTTCCTTGTGGGGTCTCTTTGGGGGAGGTAGTGAGATAGTAGGAGGAAATGATCTCCATCATCCCCAACCGCCCCCGGCACACATATTTCCTCCCTCTCTAGTTGACATCTTCCCCTCTTCTGTCGTTTCGAACCCGTTGGGTCTGTGTGTACGTAATTTCAGAGAGAACCCCCCCCAAAAAACAATCCACCCTCTCCCACCCAAACTCCTGAGAGGTGAAGGGATAGTTCGGGAGGGGGTGGAGGGCATTGTGGCAGCAATTTCGCTCCAGTCCCGGTCAGAAAGACCACATTAAATAGTAAACTTAGAGAGGAGGATTCCTAGTACAGCTCCCGAGATACTGAAAGGAGACAACGACCCGGTCCGGACCCGGATAAACCGAAACAGCTGCTGAGTCTTCTTGGAGTCAAAGTACCTCGGCAAAAAGAACAGCTTTAGATGGGAGGGAACTGATAGCGTTATTCTTCAGTATTTTGATGTTTGACTCCGCCGAGCGGGCTAGGGCTAGACTGTTTAGACCCGAATCAATGCAGATGAATTTAACACTCTGGGCACCTATATTTGTTTATGAGTGCCGGGTACTCCTGAACCCTTTCGAGAGTTAAAATTCTCCTTGGGTGTCTACCTGCCACTTCAGAGATCTGGATGAAACTTGGGTTTGTCTCTTTGCTCCGGACTCGCATTTCTGCACAGTTATAAGTGGAGCATATTGGCCACTCTGGATTTATGGGTCACTGCTCCTAATGATGTAGACACCTGAATCTCTTCGTACAAAAGATCTGTATTCTGCCCATTAAAATATTTTTTATTCTCTCTCTCTCTCTCTCTCTCTCTCTCTCTCTCTCTCTCTCTCTCTCTCTTTCCTTCCAAACATACACACACACACACACACACACACACATACATACATCTAGCAGGACATCGAGAAAGGTACACATAGACGGAAATAGAGTAAGACAGATGAGTAAATAAATAAAATGATAGAGAAATGATAGAGATATGTGATACAGTATTCTAACTCTTCCCACCACCACCCCCAACACACACAACACTCTTGTCTCCATACGGGTAAACTGTCTGTGTTTGTACATATATCCCATTTCCCGCAGTAGAGATTCGCTTGGGTTTCTATCTATATTCATATCTAGAGATATTTTCTGTATTTCCTCCCCTCCCCACTCCCAACCAAACTGCTCCACAGAAGTACATCTCTGAATAGATGCGACTGGGTGGTTATTTAGAGAACCACCTTCCATCTTCTAGATAAGGAATGGTTTGAATTTATATAAATAGATCTATTTCTGCTAATGTCTTTTCTAGATAAACACATCTGCATAGAACCAAAGCTAGGCGTTGGTAACTAAAGATTTCATTACTTCATTATGTGTAATTATCAGGACTTTATCTGTACATGCTGTGTACGTGGAGCATATATATGTTTGCATTCCCCACCCTTGAATCGCCTGCAGATGAACGGCAGTGTAACGGGTGCAGTGGGGAGCTATCGCCTTAGCCATGTGGCAGACTAAAACGCTTTTTTCTCGGTGTGCGTTTCTGGGGAGGCCGGCTCGGTCTTTTGAGGGAGCTAGACGCATACCTTCTCCTCCTCCCCCACCCTCGTGTGTCTTAGGACAAGGCAATGATATCTGTGAATTCTATGTATACGTGTATATATGGAGGAAAGAGGTGAAGTCTTCATGTAAATCGACCGTTCCTCTTCTTCTATAACCAGGGAAACTGAGCTATCCCCTGCCCTGTGCCCCTCCCTCGAATCCGACTGGCATCTAGACTTTGTCACGTCTGAACCGAATGATATGTGGCATACATGTCCTGCTTACACCCCCATTTCCAGAGAAATGTCCACGAGCTAAATAAATCCACATATATCACAATCTGTTTATCGCATATGATCTAAAATATAACATACAATTGTATACTATATGAAATAATATGTGAAAATATACACTTATTTCTCCAACTCCTTAAATCTGCTTTTATCTTTATAACCCCACTTACTCTCCCGATTGTTTCTCACAAACACAATTGTCTCTCTCTAGCTATATCTGGTGAGACGTTTGTGTGTCTTCTATACACAGTATGATGTGGTAGCACACTTAAATATGATATAATTATGTAATGATTATATAATTTCCTCAATGTAGCTCCAATGCATGCTTATATTTATATGAGTCCCACAGTTTCACATAATTGTCTTTAGATATAAATCTGGACATAGTTATATATGCCTCTCTTCTTTCCCAATGACACATTCTCCCCTTAATGCAGAGATGACTTTCAGAGACGGACTCATCTGACTACAGCCATCAATCTATTGCTTTCCTGGGTACAGACACCTGTATGCGATCTCTGGTATTCAAACACAAAGATAAACTATAGATAGATATCTTGGGTATTCCCAGCTCAGAGCAACTGCTATCGCCGATCCACATTATATTCTCTTCTCTCTTCTCTCTCTCTCTGGTCAAATACATCTATATAAGCGTATGTGTAGATGTATATATTTATATGTTGATATACATATATGCCCGCAGTGCAGATTTACTTGACGGGCTCTCGTCCAATTTGGGCATCCTGAGAATATCACTGATCTACTACATGCTTTTAAGAACGTGTCTGTATACTCATATATGCATACATATGACTATGTGTGTGTGCTCTTCTAAAGCGATGTATGGGATTAGGTTTGTGTGGATGTGTGTGTGTTGTGTGTGTGTGATTATGCTTGTGTAAATGTGTGGCTAGGATTGGGTATGTGTCCCTGTACCTAAGTATATATAATATGCATATACACACATACATATATATTATATGTGTTGTAGTACACAGTGGGGGGAGGGAGAAGATGAATGTGTACCTGCGGTACTTAATGTGCCTATAGGTGGATGCGTATGCCCTCTCGGTGCCCAAACACTTTCTGGTCTCCAATTCTTGCAATGACCCGTGGGCTACGTCCTGGCAATAAGTTTGCTCTCCTTGTCTCAGCTTCTGTCTACTCCCCCCAGCTTCCTTTATCCTCTGAACTCTCGGTTTCTTTCTCCTGTTCTCTCTCCCTGTCCCTGTCCCTGCTTATAAGAGTGCCAGGGAAGAGAGTCACGCCACGGCTGCGGACTACCCGCGTCGGACAAAGTGAGAGCGATTCGCTCCTTCTGGGGTTTGGTTAGAGTTGCTGGGCCAGGGGAGAAAGTGGGGGCAGGGAGCGCGGACGCTTTGGGGGCGTCATAAAGGAGGGAGAGCAAGTCAATGGAGTCCTGCAGGGATCAGAGTAGGGAAAAAAACCCTAGAAATAAGACAGGAGGAAAAGGAATAAAACTCGATGAATCTCTTAAAAGCAAAACCAACCCCCCAAACTGGAATGAGACAAGCATGCAGAGAAAATAGTAAAACGAAATTCAGATGAAACGAGATTAAAAACCAACGAAAGAGTCGCCTGATAGACCTGAAGAGAGAGCTAAGAGCTGGAGAGCTAACTGGGATGGCTATGGGAAGGCAAGAGGCAAACACGCCGGGGTTGGAGACTCCAATATGAAGGAGGCAAAATTTAGTCAGAAATCCCTCGGGTCGGGAAACCGAGGGAGTTAGGGTAGAGCTGAGGGACTACCCAAACCCGAGCCCAAGGCAACCAGCCTGCCGGCAGCTTCCAGTAGATCGTTTTGTAGAGGGGGCGTCGGGCTTGGAAGGGAGAACTCCCTGAGAGCCCCAGTGTCTTAGAGTGCTAGGATCTAGCAGTGGTCATGATACTGGATTTCCTCCACGCTGTCACCCTTAAGTCTGGCCACTTTTAGCTTTGTTCTGCCCCTCTCTCCACCCCCGCTCCTGCGAAAAAGTATGGTTAGTGAACATTTTTTGAGGATTTATGTGAGATGAGGCCGCATTTACAAAAACACCCAGCAGAGAGATTGGAATGAATTGCTGTGGCTGTGGCAGACTACTTGTGTCTTCCGCATCCTGACACTCACCTCCGCCCTCCTAAACCCTAACTCTTGCAGGCCTTAATTTTCCCCGAGGGCTTATCTAGGTCTATTGGTAAGTGTAGGCATCTCCTCGAGGCTGTGAGATTACAGCCCGAGCCTAGTAAAAACTAAACTGGGTCTGGCCTAAAAGACTCAGGTTTGGTACAACCTCACCAGCAGGTGAACTTTCAGCTAGCCCCAGAAAGAAAGGCAGAGGTTGTAGGGGAGAAGGTGGTTCCGTAATCTCGGAGCCTGCCTCGCCCCTTCTAACAAATCCTGTTCCCCCTTCCCCACCTGGACAGCAAAGGTGGGATGCAACTTCTGACGATCTTGGTGAGAGGAATTGTGCAGAACTGTTAATAATGAGTTATGCCGGGGACCCTGGGGGTGGGGGATGGGGAGAGAAACAGAGAGAAAAAGAAGAGAAGAGGGAGAAAGAGGAGAAAGGGAAGGGGGGGTCAAGTAAGGAGAAATGACAAAAGGTGACGAGAGAGAGGTAGAGGGAAAAAAGATAGGAAAGAGACATAGAAAGCTAAAGAGAGGGAAGAGTGACACAGAGAGAAGAAAGACCAAATATAGTCTGTGTGTGATTAGTAGATAAGGATACTACTAGGCTTGGAATCAGGAAAATTGGGTTCAAATCCTGCCTCAGAGGCTTACTAATTGGGTGATTTTAGTCAAGTCACTCAGCCCCTATGCACCTCAGTTTCCTCATCTGTAAAATGAAGGAGTTGGAGTTGATGGCCTCTAAGATCCTTTCCAGCTCTGATTCTCCCTAGAAGAAAGACAGGGAAGAAGAAAGACATGGTAGAGAGACAGAGATATGGGAGGGTGTAACAAAAAGATAGGAATCTGAAGCAAAAGGAAAAGATAAAAAGAAAGACATACACTGAAATGGTGGGGGGGAGAGAATCTTGGCAAGGAGTGGAGAGAAATTGGAAAGGAAAAGAGGAGAGAGAAATCAGAGGATATTGTGTTGAGTGCCCCCCAGCTGATTTCAGATGTACTGTAAAAACCCTAATTGCAGGAGGATTCAAGACCCAAATGCAGAGGAAACCCCAAAGCACGAAAATTCAGAAACAGTTACAACCTGATGAGCCAGCTGGCATCATTTCCCTATGAGGCTATTTCCTCTTTTCACTCCATGGCAGGGCACCTGCCCCACCATCAGGAAGGATGGATCCTGAGAATCTAGAATGAGGAGGATATGGGTAATCTCTGATGGGAAGAGATAAACTTAGACTGAGACAGGGCAACAAACAGACTGAGAGACCCAGAGCCACCAGAAGAGAGGAGAAAAGGGGGAGGGCTATACTTAGGAATAAGTACAGGGTGGGGGAAATGTGGGGGGAATGGCTGTCTGGAGTACATTAGTCTTCAAAGGGTGATGCTTTAAGGCCATTGCTACTATTGGGAAAGGCAACAAGCATTTCTCTTTTAAAGGTGTTTTCCACCTTTCCAAATGTACTCCCCCACCCTCTTTTCTTTTCCTGAGATGCATGCCTTGGTCCTGGGGGTGGTGATAGCAGATCTGTACTTGGGGAAGAGGTAGGATGAGAAATTGTTGCCAAGGGAGGAGAAAGGGATGAAGGAGGAAGTAAAGAAGAGGACAGTACAGGGGGACAATATGTCCCTGACTCATTTTAACTCATGCTGAACTGAGGGCCAGAGTATTATTAATTTAAAATACTTTTTATTATATTAATAATTTGAAATATATTTTAAGCAAAATCCTATCAAACAGACAACAGTGACTTGTCCAAGAAATCATTCTTTATGATCAAGTGGAATTTATACCAAGGACACAAGGGTGGTTAAACATTATTAATCATATTAAAAACCAAAACACCCCAAACCATATGATCATCTCAATATATGCAGAAAAAGCCTTTGACAAAATACAACACTCTTTTATGCTAAAAACCCTACAAAGTATAGGTATAGAGGAACCTTTTAAAAACACAATAAAAAGCATTTATCTAAAATTTAAAGCAAGCATCATATGCAATGGGGATACACTAGAATCTTTTTCAATAAATATGGAAGTAAATCAAGGATGCCCACTCTCCCCACTATTATTTGATACAGTCCTGGAAATGCCGGCAACAGCAATAAGACATGAGAAAGAAGTTAAAGGAATAAAGATAGTAAAGAAGAGATAAAGCTGTCCCAGTTTGCTGATGATATAATGGTTTACTTGAAAAATCCTAATGAATTAATAAAGATATTAAGACAATAGTTTAAGTGAAGTTGCAAGCTACAAAATAAATCCTCAAAAATCAACAGCATTTCTATATGATAACAAAACACAAGATGCAATAATAAAAAGGGAAAACCCACTCCAAATAACTAAAGAATGCATAAAATATCTGGAGATCAACTTATCAAAACATAAAAAAGACTTATATAGATTGAATTACAAAGTTCTCTTTAGAGAAATAAAGAACAACTTAAATAGCTAGAAAAAAACATTCAGTGATCATGGTTAGGCTGTGCCAATATAATTAAAATGACAATACTACCAAAATTAATTTGCACATTTAATTACATTCCAATCAAATTAACAAGGGAATATATACAGAAGTTGATAAAATAATAACAAAATTCATTTGAAAAAAACAAAAGATCTAGAATATCAAGGGAAATCATGAAAAGAAGGATGAAGGGAGAATAGTACTTTCAGACCTCAAACTATATCATAAAGCAATAATCATCAAAACCATCTGATATTGGTTAAAGAATAGAGAAATAGATCAATGGAACAGAATAGACTAGAGACTATCAGAAATAATAGAACTCATTAACCCAATGTTTTATAAAGTGGAAAATATAAACCACATAGGAAAAAACTCCTTAAATGATAAAAACGCTGGGAACACTGGAGAGCAGTCTTGAAAAAATTAGGTTTAGACTAATACCTATACTACCTTCCACATTACATCCTAAATGGATATGTGACCTTAACATTAAAAATCATACCATTAAGGAAAATTAGAAAAGAAACGATCATATACCTCTCATAGCAATGGGCAGGAGACATATTCTTAACTAAACAAGAAATTGAGGCAATTACAAAAGATAAAATATATTACTTTGATTACTTAAAACTGAAAAGCTTCTGCAGAAACAAAATCCATGCAATTAGGATAATAATAAAATTCAAATTTTAAAAAACTGTATCAAATTTCTCTGATAAGGGTTTGGTATCTAAGTTATATAAAAACATATATGTATAGCATATTATACATAAGACTAATATCCAGTCATAAATGGTCAAAGGATATTAACAAATAGTTCTCAAAAGAATTGTGAAATATTCACAACAACATGAAAGACTGCTCCAAATCATTCATAATATGAGAAATGCAAATCAAAATAACACTGAGATTTTGCCTTATACCTTGAAAATTGAGAAAAAAAATTTTAAATTACAATAATCAATGTTGGAGGGGTTGTGAAAGGACAGGTACACTAATACATTGTTGGTGGGGCTGTGAAAGGGCACAACCATTTTTGAAAAGCAGTTTGGAATTATGCAAATAAAATTACTAAAATGTCCATATCCTTTGAACCAGAGACTCCATTACTGGGATTACTGGGATCCATTACTAGGATGCTATCAATAAGAAGGGAAATTGTCTGTTCATATCCTTTGACCCATTGTCAGTTGGGGAATGGCTCTTATTTTTCTAAATTTGGCTGAGTTCCCTATGTATTTGAGAAATGAGACCTTTATCAGAGAAGCTTGTTATAAATCCTCCTCACCCCACTGTTTCCCAATTTCCTTCTTTTTTGGGCTGCATTGGTTTTGTTTGTGCAAAACCACTGAAATTTCATGGAATCAGAATTATCCATTTTACTCCCAGGATCTACTCTATCTTTTGTTTGATCGTAAATTTTTCCTTTATCCATACTGACAGGTAATTTTTTCCATACTCCCCTAATTTGTTTATATCACCCTTTATATCTAAATTATGCACCCATTTTGATCTTATCTTGGTGTATGGTATAAGATGTTGGTCTATGCCTAGTTTCTACCAGACTGCTTTCCAGTTTTTCTATCAGTTTTTGTAGAATAGTTAGTTCTTGCCCCCAAAGCTTGGATCTTTGGGTTTATCGAACACTAGATTACTGTGGTCATTTATTTCTGTATGTTGTGTATCTAATCTATTCCACCAAGCTATCAATCTTTTTCTTAGCTAATGCCAGATTACTTAGATGATTACTGCTTTAAAATATAGTTTGAGGGCAGCTAGGTGGCACAGTGGCACATTTTGGCACTGACCCAGGAGTCAGGAGGACCTGAGTTCAAATCTGGCCTCAGACACTTGACACTAGCTGTGTGATCTTGGGTAAGTCACTTAACCCTGATTACCTTGAAAAAACAAAATAAAGCAAAAAAACAAATAAAACATAGTTTGAGTTCTGGTACCGCTAGGCCACTTTCCTTGACTTTTTTTCTCACTGATTCCCTTGATATTCTTGACCTTTTATTCTTTTTTTTTTTTTTTTAGGCAATTGGGGTTAAGTGAATTGCCCAGGGTCATACAGCTAGTGTCAAGTTTTGGTCTGAGGCTCGATTTGAACTCAGGTCCTCCTGACTTCAGGGCCAGTGCTCTATCCACTGCGCCACCTAGCTGCCCCTTGACCTTTTATTCTTCCAGGTGAATTTTGTTATTATTTTTTCTAGCTCTATAAAATAATTCTTTAATAGTTTCATTGGTATGGCACTGAATAAGTAAATTGGTTTCAGTAGAATTGTCAGTTTTACTATATTGGCTCAGCCTATCCATGAACAATTACTATTTCTCCAGTTGTGTAGATCTGTCTTTGTGCAAAGTGTTTTGTAATTGTGTTCACAGAGTTCCTAGATGTATCTTGGCAAGTATTCTATACTGCCTGTAGCTATTTTAAACAGAATTTATCTTTTTATCTCTTCTTGTTGTTAATATATAGACATGCTGATGATTTATATGGGTTTTTTTATATCCTGCAACTTTGCTAAAGTTGTTAATTGTTTCAACTTTTTTTTTTGTTGATTCTCTAGAGTTCCCTAAATATATACCACCATTTGATGGTTTTCTTTCCTCATTCCTCCTTATTCTTATTCCTTCAATTTCTTTTTCTTTTCTTTTCTTATCACTATAGCTAGCAAAATTTGAATAGTAATGGTGATAATGGATATCCTTACTTCACCCCTGCTCTTATTGAGAAGGCTTCTACTTTATCTTCATTGAGGGCCACAGGAGTTATACATTGCACATATTTTCAGATTTTTTTCAATGTGTTGATTAGTTGTGCCAATTTTTTTACCTTTCTAAAAATACTATTTGTCATATGAGATGACTCTCTTAGGGAGGTGCAGAGTAGGGAGAATTAGGACAACTATGATGATATAAGCAACAGTAACTATTAATTAAAACTTATTTTAAAATAAAATACTTTTTACAGTGCTTCATAAATGGTAACATGCTTCCCTCATAACAACCCTGTGAAGCAGCTATAATAAGGGGATTAATATTCCCATTTTACAGATGCAGAAATTGAAGTTTAAGTAAAGAAAGTGACCTACTCATATTTTCTTAACTGACCTAGGTTCTCTGACTGGAAGTTCAAAGTTTTCCATAGTTCCAAGATGTACTGGCCTCTAGTTCTGAAATGATCCGGCGGCAGGAACAAAGGACACCATCTATCAGGCTCTCTCTGTCTACTTTCTTTACTGCCGCTTCCCTCAGTACCAACCCCACAGTGTGTACAGTGATAGACTGGTGTGATAGAAGGAGGCCTGGGCTGGGATTTAAGAGACTGGGGTTTAGTCCTGGTTCATATACTTAGGAGCTGTATGAATTTTAGCAATTCAATTTGATATTCTTTAAAAGTCTACTGTGTACAAGGAACTGTGCTGGGAACTAGCAATACAAACACGAAAAATAGTAAGTTTTGGCATTATTAGGGGAAGGAGGTCACAATATCGACATGTAACATACGTGCATCTAAGCCATGTAATTCTGAAATAACTTCAAGTGCAATAACAGTAAAAGAAAGCTATAGATAATATACTCTTAGAAAATTTGAGGATGGAAAGGTTATTTTTAGCTGTGGGGATCAGTGAAGGCTTCATGAAGGAGATGGCACCTGATATTGAAAGAAAATAACTTCATGTTGTAGGTGTGGAAGGAGAAGAAAGGAGGGCCAATCTAAGCTGCAGACTCCCTGTGACCCTGTAAGTACTAGAAAACAGTTATCATCTATATTCATAGGTTTTCTCTTATCCAAGATAAACACTCATTTAGTACTCACATAGTACCATCTAGAAGTCTTTCAGTATCCTGGATACCCTTCTTTGAACATTTTCTTAGCTTATCAATATTCTTCCTAAAATATGACAACCCGAAATAAATTCATATTTCAGATATGTTCTGACAAAGGCAAAATACAGCAGGAGATAATAACCTCCCTGGCCTGGGCACAATGTCTCTTATAATTCAACCTAAGAAAACACATACCACACTTTCGACTCATTGAGCTTGCAGGTCCCTAAGACTTCCAGATCTTCTTCAAGTTGGTAAGTCACATGCTGCCCCCCACCCACCCAGTCTTGTAGTTGTGAAGTTATTTTTCTTACGACTTTACATTTATCTCTATTGAGTTTCATCCTATTCGATTTAACCCAATGTTCTAGTTTGTAAAAATATTTTTGGATCCTGGTCCTGTCATCCAGTGTGTTAGCTATTCTTAGCTTTCTGTTATCTTCCAATTTAACAAGTATGCCATCTTCACCATTATCCAAATCACTGATAAAAGTCAAAAATGGAGGATCTGATAGGGAAGAGAGCTAAGATAGTGTCACAAAAAAACCAGAAGAATAAATAAGCTTCATTGAAGGACCTTAAAATTCAGAGAAGAAAAGAGAAGGACATTCAAAAGGAAACAGACAAGCAGGACAACTTTGAAAATAAACTGAATTTATTATCCTTTTTTTCTTTTAACAGACTCGGAAGCTGAGGTAAAGAGAGTGGAAGTGATTTGACCATAGTGACATGGCTGCCAAACGGCAGTACTAAAAGCCCCAAACTTCTGACTCTCAGGCCAGTGATACTTCCCCTACACCAGGATACTTTTATTTGCTACACCATACCCTTCCTTGGGATAGGTCATATTATTGGGAAAGGGTTGCCATGATTCTAAAGTCTTGATTTTCCAGTTGGAGCACCTCTGAGGCATTAGAAAGGGGGGCATCCCAGTCTTGGGAAACTACGATCTGGAATGTTCACTGACCACCTTTGGAGTCTCTGTCTCTCTTTTTCTTCCTGCCTCCACGTATACACTGTACCCCTACCTACCTCTTTAATTAGCCTCCCTTTCCCATCTGGACTTCAAATTTCTTGAGAGTTCCTTTCCTCTGGGATAGGCCCTCTTGGGCTCTATCTCCACAGAATGAGGTGGGAAAAGGACTGAAATGGCCTCAGGAGAAATGAGGCTTAAACTCCAAGAACTTTTTTAGGGGGGGTAGAAAAGAGAGAGATGGGATTGAAAAGATGTCCCAGCCCCAGGGGAATGAAGGCATCAGGAACAGCTGTCTTCCTTTTTACAGGAGGAAAGGGAATAGGACAGGTGGAAAGGGATAGTCCCTGTGCAGAGGCAGAGGGATGGCTTTGATGATATACACATAGCAGGGTGTTAGTGAGAATATGAGGGAAGGGGGGTTGGGGGGTGCAGGGAAGAGCATTTTTACTTCTTCATTCTCTCATGGGGAGAGGGGCCAGCTTCACTCAGCTAACGAACCTCCTCCCAAATTCTCCAAGTTGGATTTGGTCTGTCCCAGAGGGGGGTCTTTTATAACAAGGGGCCCCCCCTCCAGCCCTGTCCCTCCTTCCTCTGGAGCTGAAGCGTCCAAAGGTTCCTGGAATATAATGGATCATTTTCAATTTACCAGAGTCTTAGAGATTACGCCGCTAATCCCATCAAAGACCATCTGCTTACATTGTCCCTCCCGAGCCAAAATAAATAGATCCTTTACTCCCTCCACTTCAGCTCCTCTGGGGTATTGTCAGGGAGAAAGTTCGACAAGGCCCTACCCATTTCCCCCTCCCTCCTGCTGGGGGCTGGACAGAAAGGGAGAAAACACACTTAGCTAGTTGGAGGTGTGAAAGGTCACTTATGCCCCTGACCCACATTCTTCTCCAGAGCAGAGATGATGGGAATGGGGAAAGGGGCAGACCAAAGGGCTTTGGGGGTCTCTAGGGCCCAGTCCCCTGCTGAGGCAAAGGACAGGCCTGTTTATGGGATGAGGCACGGTTCTGCCATTCCCCTGCCTCTGCTCTGGGGCTCCCTTTCCCCCAACTCTCTCCTGGGTCCTCTCTGCCTTGCTCCCAAAACTTTCCCAGCATTTCCCAGCTCTAAATGTGGGGAATTTCTTTCTGAAGTCTAACCTCCATTTCTCCATTAGGAGAAATGAATGGAGTATGAATGGAGTGTGGTACGGGATTTACAAGGAAAGCAAGATGAATATACACAGATACCAGGATCATAGTATTTAAAGCTGGAACAGGCCTAGAGATCATCTAACCCTCCATTTTAGAAAAGAAGCTAAGGCTCAGAGAGGTTAAACTACTTTCCAGGTCACACCAGGCTGTAGGTGGCAGAGCTGGGATTCAAATCTAGGTCCCTGGGCTCCAAATCTATGACCATACTTGATACATATGATTTTGATTCCAGTTTGAGGTCATTTGGTCTATGGGTTCACAGGTTCTACAGGACTGTGGATAGAAGGTAAATGTTGGAGTCAGGAAAATCCGGGTTCAAGTCCTGCTTCTGATGTGGCTATGAGACCACGAATAAATCATTTAACCTCTTAGTGCTTTAACAGATGGAGTTTACACACTGATAAAGTCCATGGGTCTGGACATTAATGTCCTATAAAAAAAAACACAAGATGATATTGCATAAACCCACAGAATATATCTGGAAAAGACCCTAAAGATTTCTTCAGTTCCTTTATTTTGCAGTTGAGAAAACTGAGGCCCACCACAGTGACACAGTGAGTTTCAGAACTGGACCAATATCTAAATCTCCTATCTCATTCTATGAAGGAATGGCATTGAAAAATAGCTAATGTTAGTTTCTTTCCCTGGATTCTAAATGAGAAGATGAAATCTAATAGTAATAAATGCAAAAGCCTAAAATTTAGGCTTCCCCAAAGTGAACTGCATAAGAAAGAATGGGGGAGGTCCAACTCAACAACAATGCACTTAAAAAAGGATCTGGGAATTTGAGCTGACCTCAGATTTAGTGTGAAACATCATTTTGATGAAGCTGCTAAAAATATTTTTCAGTCTCAAACTGCATGTAGTAAAACAATGGTGTCCAGGTCAGGAGAGGTGACACTCCTATAGTTTCTGCCTGCTCGGGCCACATCTGCAGTATTATGTTCAGCTTTTGACATTTTCCTTTAAGATCTAATGAGATAATATGTGTAAAGCACTTAGTACAGAGCCTGGCACATCTTGTGGTTCAGTCATTTTCAGTCGTGTCCAACTCTTCCTGACCCACTTTGGGTTTGTTTGTTTGTTTGTTTTTTAGGAAAGATACTGGAGTGGCTTGCCATTTCCTTCCCCAGTTCATATTACAGTTGGGAAAACTGAGGCAAACAGGGTTAAGTGACTTGCCCAAGGTCACACAGCTATTAAGTGTCTGAAGCCAGATTTGAACTCAGGAAGATGAGTCTTCCTGTCTCCAAGCCTGGAGCTCTATGCACTATGTCATCACCTAGCTACTCAAGTGCCCTAGCTGCCACATATTAGGCACTTAACAAGTGTTCCCTTTCCCTTCCCTGAAGAAGAAAACTGACAAACACAAAAGCTTGGAGAGGAAGGAAGCAATCAACATGGTGAGAGGATATCTCAACCTTTATCACACAAGGATTAGCTGGAGAAGTTAGGGATGTTTTTAGCCTAAAGCAGAGGTTCCCAAACTTATCTGGCCTACCACCCCCTTCTCAAAAATTAAATTTACTCAGTGTCCCCCTGGAAATCTACTTTCTTTAACCTTGTAACATTTTTTAAAAAATTTGCATCATCAAAAAATATAAATTTTTTAAAATGACATCTTACATTTTTTTTTTTTTGGCTAGGCAATGGGTTTAAGTGACTTGCCCAGGGTCACACAGCTAGTAAGTGTTTTGTGTCTGAGGCCAGATTTGAACTTAGGTCTTCCTAAATCCAGGGCCGGTGCTCTATCCACTGTGCCACCTAGCTGCCCCTATGACATCTTAAATTTAATAATTTATTGAAAATTTGTGGGCTTTTTCTCCTGCATTGAAATTGTGATGACACAATATTGTATCATGTAACTGAATCATATTGTAAACAAGTCATTACATGCACATATTCCTGCCGATGCATACTGGACTTCCCAACAATGCAAAACATGCTCACCTGCCAACACTTGCCTGTTAAGACCTGTTGGCAGACTTGTCCACTCATCACTTATAACTTGCATTTTGTGTGTTTATTTGGAAAATAATGTAATTACCATGGCTTTAACTGTTACACAACAGATGAAGCATGTACGAACGGTTTTTCAAAATTTTCTTCACTTCTTTCTTTATGCTTCCACCACCCCCTTATTTTTATTCAATCCCCCCAATTGTACCAAGGCTACTATCACCGCCCCTGGATTGTTCCAGCACCCCCCAGGGGGTGGTATTGCCCACTTTGGGAATCTATGAGGCCACAGAGTAGTTGCCTTGGAGTTTATGAAGTATTATAAAAGAAAAGAAGGGTTCAATTCATTCTGTACTGTTCTGGAAGGCAGAACTAGGACCTGCCTCTAATGTAGCTATGTGATAAAAGTGGAAGTCATAGAGAAGGAAGGCAGTCTCAATATAAAGAACTTGCTCCCTGTAAGACCTTGAAAAAGTCACTTCCCTTCTGTGGGCCTCAGTACACCCATAGGAAATGAGGGTGTTGGGTTGGCTTATCTCAAAGATAACTTTCACTTCTAATTTCCATGAGCTAGAGCTATCTGACACTGTACTGGGATATCCTGACCCTGAGGAAATGAGCTCCTCCAACACTGTAGGTATCCATGCAGATGCCACATTCTTACACCAGATGAGAGGTTGGATTAGGTGACTTCAAAGATTTCCTCTAGTTCTAAAATTCTATGTTTGTAATAGAAGCCTACAAACATGATATGGACCAGATTCAACAAATGTTTATTCAGTATTTGCCATTTGTAAGACACTATATTAAGCAATAGGCACAAAGAGCCTTAGGAGGTTGGTACAAGAAGAAGTCGTTTTTAAAAGCTGGCTGTCTTCTCCATCATGGGATTCACATCCATTTCTTCTTCCTGTAACACCTGGCCAATCCCCCGGACCTCAAGCTGTCTTCCCTGATTAACCCTACCCAAATCTTGACTGACAGCTCCCTGAGCACATGAGCCCTGAGTTTGTCCTTTATTCTTTTGAACTTTTGGGAAGTTATTTTCCAAGAAGCAGCATGCTTTAGTGGAAAGAGCACTGGATTTGTAGGATGATGCCTCCTAGTAGGAAAAGGAGTAGAACTCTGGGACAAGTGAAGTAGAAACTTGGTAGATTCTTCAGGAAAGTACAAGACCTGGGTTTGAGTCCAAACTCTTCTGTTTACTACATGGATAACCTTGGGCAAGTTTTTTAAACTTTCTGGGTCTCAGTTTTCTCATCTATAAAATGAGAAGGTTGGATTAAATGATTTCAAAGTGGAAACAAAATAGATACTCATGAATTGGGGAAAGACTAAATAAACTGTGTTACATGAATGTAATGGAGTACTACTGTGTTGTAAGAAATGAGGAAAGTAACGAATACAGAGAAGCATGGGAAGATTTACATGAATTGATGCAAAGTGAAGAAAGCAGAAGTAAGAAAACAATATACACAATGTGTATAACAATGTAAATGGAAAGAACAAAAAACCAAAAGTGAATGATGCAAAATTAACAAAGAACAAGAATGGTACAAAAGAAAAGCTATGCAAAGACACTCCTTACCACCCACTTGCAGAGGTGGGAGGCTCAAAAGTGTGGCACATTGAAGATATTTAAGACTTTTTTGATGTATTGATCAACTATGCTGATTTTTTTTCTTTAAAAATATCACTTGTTATATGGAATGGCTTTTTGGGAGGGAAAAGGGATGTCAGGGGAAATTATGGTGTTATAAAAACAGATATTAATTTAAAAGTATTTTAACAATTTATTAAAAAGACTCATAAAATGACCTCAAAAGTCTCTTCCAACTCTAAAATCCCATGATCCTATTAACGTGTATCTCACCCTTAGACTCAATGCTCAGGATGGGTTTCCCAACTCGCCCAAAGAAAACTTTCCTTTCAAGTCTAGATTCTTTAAGTGGAACAATTTTTATTATTATTATTAATTATATTAGTATCATAAGGCCTTACTTGGAGCCATATGGTATAACAAGGGAAAAGAGACATCCTTCTACTCCCACTCCCCTCTTCATTCAAAGCCCAAGTGTTTCCTCATTGGTAGGGAGGAAATCAGGGTTTTGGAAAGGTTTCCCTCTCTATCAGCATGAAGCTAACAGATATTGGGGAGGAGATGAACTGATTACCATTAACCCAACTATCTGGTTTGTTTTTTTCACTCAATGCATTCTTTCCTGAGGAGAGAAGATATGAGAGGTTGCAAGCTATGTTGAGAGAGACAGGAAAAATTCAGCCTTGAGAGAGAAGAGAGATGAGCATTCCTTCCATCTCTACAGTTTTCACCCAAATTCTTGAGGTCTAGTTAAAGTGGATTTAGCCTAGCTTTTTTGAAACTCTAATTTCTATCCTGCCTGCTATAAGAAAGTTACAAAAAAGTAGATTTTTGCTAAATGTAAATAAAATACTTCCTAACAACCAGAGCTGCTTCTAAAATGGAAGAGACTGTCTCGTAAGGTAGCGAGTTCCACATTACTGGCGGTGATTGAGGTTTGGAGGAAGATGGTCTTTTATCGGTAGCTGAGAATGATTGCTTGTTGTAATGTCACAGAGAGGATTCCTTTCTAGGTATGGGTTGATCTAGAAGGGCTCTGAGGTCCCTTCCAACTCTGAGATTTCACTATTTTTTATCTTCCCCTCTGGCAATATTCTCATCTGTCTGGAATGGATTACTATCAGTCTGGGAGTTCTTTCCCAAAGACAAGGAGATGGATGGATGAAGGCTCTATTCTTCAGGGAGCCAGCTCCTTATGCCTTGTAATTTGTAGCTCTGGACTGCCCCCTAGTGTCCCAAGACTAGTGTTGACCTGTCCTACAGAGAACGGCTATTTGCATCCCAGAATCCTCAAGGCCTACGGAAAGCCTGTATGCTTTCTTCTCACAAAATCACAGAATCACAGAATTTGAGAGCTGGAAGAGGCCTCAATACATAACCTTTACACAATAGAAATCCCTCACTCTAACATAACATACCTGATAAGTGGTTATCCAGCCTTTGCTTGAAGAACTCCAAGGATGGAAACCCACTACCTCTCAGGGCAGCCATTCCACTTTCGGACATCTGTAATTGTCAGGGGAAAAAAAAAAGTCTTCTAGGGATTAAGCTTGAATTCGCCTCTTTGCAACCTCTACCTACTGTTCCTGATTTTGCCTTCTGGGATTAAATAGAACAAATCAGATCCCTCTCCTACACAATACCCTTCAAATACTTGACAGCAGCCAAAATGTGCCCCTTGAATCTTCAATCAATCAATAAACATTTATTAAGCACCTTAGAGAGGTGAGGGACTATGGGTGAGGAAAGTTGCACCCTCCACCAGATACCATATTGGAGTACCTCTTCCATTTTCCAAGACCTTCTAAATATCCCTGACTCAGCAGGCTCAGTAAGCCCATCTTGCCCATTTCAGGACCCAAGGAATGAGTTCATCTGGTCCAGGCGACTTGACTTCCTCAAGGGCTGCTAGGTGCTCTCTTACTATATCCTTGCTTATTTTGGGTATCAGCTCCCCTGATGGTTATTCTCAGGACAAAGGTCTCTTTTGTAGAGAAAATCAAAAATCAAAACAAAAAGAGGATTAGAAAAGCTCTATTTTCTCTCTGAGGTTAGTTACCATCATCCAAGCAAAATTCCCATGTCTTCTTTGATTCCTCCTTTTCTCCTAACATAGCTTTAAACCCCCCAAACTCTTCTTGTTGTCCTTAGCTTCCCTCACCAACCCTGCCTCTTTCTAAGCATTAGCATTCCTGACACCATTTTTACAGGACTGTGCCAGTCTCTTACGTTTGTTCTCTGTTACTTGGCCCTGCTTCCACCTTCTTTGGGTTTCTTTCTGAAATCTTAGTTGGTTAGTGAGCTCCCTGTTACATCCACATAGGTTTCTTCAGACAAATCTCAAGGCCCTTTGCTTTAGGCACTAATATCCTCAAGCTGTATATGTTCTCTTTTTCTTCTTACCCTGGGCCTTCTCTCCCTCTCCTCTCCTTCCAGAACTCCAGGTCAGTCTAATTCTAATTCTAATTCTAATTCTAATTCTAATTCTAATTCTAATTCTAATTCTAATTCTAATTCTAATTCTAATTCTAATTCTAATTCATCTGACTTCATTTGAAAGTCATTCCTTCTTGAAAGTTGAGTCAAAGACTAATTGTTGTATGGTCCCTTCTCAAACAGGTTTCAGGGTCTCTCCCTGAGGTATGGGTTTCCAAAAGGGGGAAGAGGGAAAATGGATTTTCAGTCTTCAAATCACTGTAGAGTGATCACACAAAGGCAAATAACTTCATCTCCACTGCAAAAAAGAACAAGATAAAGAAAAAATTGACACAGCAGAAAGGAAGACTGGAGTTAGACACTTCTAGTGACAACAGCAACTCATACTTTGATAGTTCTTTACCATTTACAAAGGGCTTTCTTCACAACAGCCTAGCGAGATAGTATAGAACCAGAATCATTTAGGAATGTGTTGGTAGATGTTTCACAACTGGTTCCCCAGGGGGCAAATGTACATAGGAGAGACTTTTAAATTTGATCTCATTATTAACTTTTCTACATCTTTTTAAGTCTAGACAATCAACAAAACAACAAATCAAGCCCTGATTTGTAACATTTGACAATTTCTAAGGTATAAGTGCACATACTGAAATTTTAACAATCATCTTTGAGCTAGTTCAAGCTCATTTCAGCACATCCCGCAGATTAGCCCCATATTAAAAATAAACAAGTCATAGGTGAAATGTTTTGCTCAGATAGTGTTAGAGTCAGGATTTGAACCTAAATAATTTTCCTTCAAGCTCAATGCCCCTTTTATCATGCCACCTAACTCCCAATAAGAAGTTTAAAACCCTAGAAAAGTTAAAAAGTGGTGGAATCTATTATGATGTGTTTTTTTGGTTTTAATTTTTAGGCAATTGGGGTTAAGTGACCTACTCAGGGTCACACAGCTAGTGTGTCAAGTGCAAGTGTTTGGTCTGAGGCCACATTTGAACTCAGGTCCTCCTGACTTCAGGGCCAGTGCTCTATTCACTGCGCCACCTAGCTGCCCCTAGAATCTATTATTATGAACATAATAACAAAAAGCACAGATTTAAAGTATGTCAGCTAGTCGAGGAATCAAATTCTAACAGAGGTAATGACAAGGGCTACATTGTCTTCCATAATGGCACCTTATAAAGGTTTGGGACATACCCCTAAAGTCGTAATTTCCCTTAGTGTGGTTCTGTTATTAATGTATTTACTTTAATCACTAAAAGACCTGGACCCCACCCTTTCCTTTCCTTAGGGAAGTGAGGTACTATGGGTATGGAATATTGCATACACTACCAGACACTAGCACTATGTCACTGGTTTTGCTTAACTTTTTTCTGTTACAGAGGAATACTCACTGGGTGAGAAGATATAACAGTGATGTAAAAAAAAAGAGGCATTAATAAAACTTTAAAAATAAAACATTCATAATTATAAAGGACCTGGGTTCTAGTTCCAATTATAACACTTATTGGTTATGTGACCTTAGGCAAGTCAATAGACCTCCATAAAGGGAGAATAATATTTGTTCTACCCACCTGAAATGGGTTATTGTGAGGATCAAATAAGATGGCATGTGTAAAGTGCTCTGAAAATGGTATTAAGCCTATATAAATGCCAGCTTATTCACTTCTCTGGGACTCAATTTCCTCATCTATAAAATAAAGGTTGGAACACATGATCTGTAAGGTCTCTTGTAGATTACACTTTATGATTCTATTAAGTAATTCCTATACTTTCAGATTGTATTAAATTAGAAGGTATTCTGCATGGAAGCAGGGGTACAGAAGAGAAGACCCTTATCCTGAAGCATCTGTGACTCTAAGGTTTGCACATCAAGTCTAAGGAACTGAGACTAGGTATGTGACCTCTGACAAATTACCTCTCTGGGTCTCAGTTCCCTCTTCAGTAAAATAAGTTGATCAGACTAGATGTTTTTTTTTTTTTCCTGGATGGTCCTTTTCACAGTCCTATGAACCCAACCATCAAATGCTATCTTCTGTGGCAACAATGCTCCCTCTTGTGGCCACAGGATGCCATGGCAGCATGTCAATTTTTTTTTGTTTCTTTTATCTTTCTTTTCTTCCTTTTAAAAAGATCAAGTGGCAATGTGGGGCAATGGAAAGAGTGTTGAACCAGGAGTCAGAAGATACAGATTATTTTTTCTCAGCTCAATCACTCAGTTGCTGTACGGTTTTTTGGGTTTGTTTTTATTTTTTAATTTGTTTTCAGCAGGAGGAAGAGAGAACAAGAGGGTATGGAGCCCAGGGAGGGAAACAACTGGTGGAGGCTACTGAAGGGAAAAGAAAGGCTTTGAAGGGCCTTTTCTAGGAGTGGAGAGCCCAGAGCTGTCTATTTCTGAAAAGAGCAGAGTGTGGGGAAATAAATTGATATAGCATAAAAAATATGGAGGTTAGCAAGCAAAAAAACCTTCCCAAATGATAAAAGGGGTTAATTGGTGTGATGTGGTATGAATTCCTAGAAGGTATGCAGAGATAAGCAACCATGTTAAATATGTACATCTTGAGGACTTCAACATTTAATACATATATTGACGTCTCCTCGGACACACAGTGTCATGGGGGTCAACAGGTGAGGCCTCCTGGGAAGTACTAGCCCAAGGTCTAGTACAGTAAGGAGAAGAGGCCACCTGTTTGCCCCTATTACACAGGCTTCCTAGTTAACCTCTTTAATTCTCATGGCCCATGCCTTCATTCAACTCAGTTACATACAGGGATGGCCATAGCCTTGATCATAAACACAAGCATTCCATTGTGAATTCTGAAATCCCTCTTTTTAACTGTAATCTCCTATCCATTTCATCTCTCACTCTGCCTCATCTCTTGTAAACTTATTTTCTCTCTTTCTCAGCAACCTCTCTGAAAAACGATTCCAGTTTTCCCAGTCAATCTTGCTCTAATCTTACTTTCTCTTTTAAATGTGGACCCTACATGGAACAGTTCAATTTCAGCCTATTTTCTATCCTTGGATCTCTTTCTAAGTCTAAACTTTGGATTAATCTCATTATCCACCTTCTCAGATCCTAGTCACAGGTCACTAAAGTATTGGAGGAAATGACACTACTGCTGACTGGACCTACTATAAATTTATGTAAATCTCAACTTGTCCCTCACTGCTGCTCCAGAATCCTTTTACTCTTCCCTGCTGGACTTGCTATCTTATTCCTCACACAATCTGCTCCAAACCCTCCATGTTCTCCTTAAGCCATTAAGGAGAACCTCCCTCTGCCTGCCTCCTTCCCTCCCTCTCAGAAGAGGACTTTTATATTTTATTTTACAAATTGAGACCATCCATGAAGACTCTCTTTGCCCCAAATCTACACCTCAAAGCCATTCACCATCACCCCCATTCTCTTCTTTGCTCCATCTTCAGGGAAGAGATGGTCCTTCTCCCCAAGTCAACCCATCTACCTGTGCCCTTGACCCCATTTCCTTCTGTCTCCTCAGAAGCTTAGCTCTTCTTCAATCACCTCTCTCTCTTCACCAACCAGCTGCCTCCTCATCGCCTAAACACATGCCTATCTCTTCCCTACCTTCCTAACCTCATAACCTTCCTACCTCTTCCCCACTCTTTATTGAAGCCCTTCCCTTTTTCTCACTTATGTTTCCTTTTTTTGTTTGTTTGTTTTTAGACAACTGGGGTTAAGTGACTTGCCCAGGGTCACACAGCTAGTAAGTGTCAGGTCTGAGGCCACATTTGAACTCAGGTCCTCCTCACTTCAGGGCCGGTGCTGTATCCACTGTGCCACCTAGCTGCCCCATCACGTATGTTTCTTTGTCTTAATTCCACCACTACTCTTCTTCCTTCTCCTCTTCTTCTAGGGCCAATTTCCTCAATTAATCTCTAGGAAAAGATCCAAAACTTAGTTTAACCATTCTGGAAAGCAATTAGGAATTATAATCCTCCAAACCACTAAACTGTATATACCCTTTGACCCAGCAATACCATTAGTAGGTCTTACATACCTTAAGGAAATTAAAGACAGAGGAAAAACACTCATATGTACAAAAATTTATAGTAGCATATTTTATTGTATCAAAGAACTAAAAACAAAACAGGTTCTCTTCAGTTTGGTAATGGAAGAACAAATTGTGGTAAATGCTTTTGCTTCTTTTGTGACAGATTTTCCTTCATATCAGTATTTTTAGTTCCAAATGTTATCTCTTTTACTTCCACCATAGATTCAACTTTTTCCCTGAATTTCCTAATTGAGCTTTTCAGTTTTGGTTTTGAAGCTCTAAATTCTGGCTTAAATTTATTCCTAATTTCTTCTTTTATGGATTTCATTTCCCTTTTACACCATTCTGGAGTTCCACATTGTTCTATGCCCTCTTGGGAGTGCATGGATGACTGTATTTTACCAAGAATTGATTCATTTACTTTTGTAATATTTTCTGAGAACACTGTAATTTTTTTTTGAGGATTTAGTATTCATCCTTCCTTCCAGTTTTTGGGATCCTCTTTATTGATCTACTTGTGCTCTAAGTTTTTTATAGAGGATTGTTTGTCCTTTGAAGTCTTTAATGTTAATTTTTTTAAAAGTACATTTACATCATTCACTTTCTAACTCATCTCCTTTTCTTGGTGGGTATATCCTTTAGGCTAAGCAGACATAGAATTCACTAACATGGGTTCCTGCCATGAGTACCCTCTGAGAGGACAAGTCTAGCACCAGCTATGTTTTAGTCCCCTTTCCTTCAGGTTGAGTCAGGTCCCTGACAACTCAGTTAATCCCTTGGCTCTCCACTTTTTCCTTCTTGTGGCTAGAATGAATACTATAGTATATGCTCACCCTGGCCCCCAAAAGAGAGGGAGGGTGGGGAAGAGGTTTCTAGCAGAGTGTCTGCAACCTTGAGTGTCCCTTCTCTAGGTCATGGTCCCAGTCAGAAGATAGCAAAACCCAGCCCAGCTGTGGCTAGGCAGAATCAGTGTCTACCACTTGTTCAGGGTGGTGGGGAGGCTGGACATGTAATACTTGAGTCTCTGCAGCATGAAGATGTCACATGATAAGCCCCAGAAACAAACCTTTGAGTCAGCTGATATCACTAACCCAGTAGTGTGGAGACTGTGGGAAAAGGGTGCTGAGTACTTTTAAGGATTAGAATTCAATGTTAATTCATAAGGATTTTATTATGTTGATATTCACACATCTCTACCCTGAAACTGCCCTGGGTTCTAACAGGGAGCTCCCGCCATGTCTTGCCCAGAATCAAGTGCCCATCAAACTTCCTGGACACTAGTTCTACCCCTGTGTACCGTACTTCCTGCTCTCCAGCTTCCATTTGTGTTTTCTTCCCCCACTGGAACACAAGCTTACTGGAGGGCCAGGACTGTCTGTCTTGCTTCTATTGTATCCTCAGCCCTTATCACAGTGGCTGGCACATATTAAGAACTTAATAAGTGACATCTATTTTTGTCCAGTGGATTCAGCTGTAATTGCACCTAAATCTAGCACATAAATTCCCCCACCCCTTTTTTTTTGGCAGGTTAAGCAATAAAAGAATCTGGAGAAGGCTTCTAATCTGCCTTCTTATTAGTTATGTTACTCAGAAGGCCTCAAATTATGGTATGTAAATGTAATGGAATATGATTGTGCTGATAAATATGATGGACTCAAACTTCAGAAGACTTGTGAACTGATACAGAAAAGACCAGAACCAGGAAAACAATTAAGAACAATTTATACAATATTTCAAAAGATAACAAGTTTGAAAGACTTCAGAACTTTAATCAAAAAAGTAACCAACAGTGATTTTAAAAGACTATTAGTGAAGCACACATCTTACCTCTTACATAGAGATCACAGACTAGAAATATTTGAAACATACTTTCAGATGTAGCCAAGATGTTACTTTGTTTTGCTTAATTATATGTGTTATAATGGAGGGCTTTTATTTGAGGAGCATGAGTTAATGGGTACTGACAGGAAAAAAGCATCAATAAAATATTCAAAGTATACAGAAGAAAACAGAAAAATTGATAAGGGCATAAGGGCAATGTTGTTACTTTTTTAAGTTTAATATACATATAACATATTCGTTAAATTAATATACACGTTAAAAACAAATTATGCATCCAGTCCCAAATTTAATATACTAAACCTCATTTTTGTTCTTTATATATTGAAATGTTTGTTGATAATTAAGTTCACAATAAAAAAAAAAAGGAAAGATCTGAGAACTTCTTTCCCGGGGCTATTTTATGGAGAGGATTCTTATTTAGGTTTGGGTTGGGCTAGATGTCCTTTGTGGTTCCTTCCAACTCTGGGGTTCTGTGATTCTGTGAGTTTTTTGATCCAGTCATCCTCCATTTTCAAATGAGGCGAGATAAATAGGATGCAGTCACCAAATTTTGAGTATAACATTCTCCGTAAATATTTTCTAAATTATGTCCCTAATCAATCAATAGACATTTATTAAACCCTAGTATCTGCCAGATGAAAGACAAAAATTAAACAGCTCCTGCCTTCAAGGAGCTTACGTTCCACCTGAACACACAACATGGACATATATGTGTGTACACGATACATATATGCGTATGTACATATGATATTTTATATTTTGCATCTATAACCACACACACCAAATGTAAAGTAGGGGAGGGCACTAGGAATAGGGAAAAGTTTCATGTAGAAGGTCACTAGAGCAAAATTTTGAAGGAAACAAGGAATTCTAAGAGGTGGAGGTGAGGCAGGGTTGTATACCTGGGACGGCTATGGGCACAGCCTGCACAAAAGTGCAGGGAAAGAAGGCTCATTTCAGTCTTCCGTCACCTCTCCGACGCGCACGCCACCACATCACTCCTCCGCTATCAGCAGCTGTGCGAACTGGGGCAAATCACTTTACCTCTCTGGGCCTTCGCTCACTCACCTCTAAAAATGAGATAACATAACACTATCGACCACAAACGGCTGGGTGAGGTGGGGAACGAGCTTTGACAACCTTAAAACGCTTTGGAAAAGGTCGTCATAATGCTTACCAGCGAGGACTTGTGAGTACGCATGCGCCTTGCCTCGGCTTGGGTTGGCAGGTGAACCCCGCCCCTTACCGAAGAAGCCAATGGAGTGAGGTGAACGTGCTCTGCGTCCGCGTGCTCGCTCGGAAACGCGTGCCTGAGGCGGTTGGTGAGGCTTCCTGGGTGCTGTGCTGCGCCCTGACGGAATCCTGGCTCCACTTAGGGAAGCGTGTAGCCACGGCCCGCCAGAAAAACGATTTGCTAATGGGAAAACGAGGCATTTTCCCTGGAGGCCACTCACTCCGCCTCCTCACTGCTTACGGTGATAGCTTTTAAAAAAGAAATCTCCCTATCGGCCTACTTTTTTCCTCTCCCTCAGACCTACGTCATTTCCGTCCTCGGTCCCAGCGAAGAGGGCGGGGCGCAGCACGCGCTAAATATCCCCTCCTAGGCCTTGGGGCTGGGGTGGGGTACGGTAGCCGAGCTCCTCGGCCGAGCCTCCAGCTGGGCGCGGCCTCAAGTGAGGAAAATTACCCTCGAGCCCGCCGGGCCACAGCCCCCGCCCTCCCGGTCCTCTGGCGGGCGTTGCCTGCTCACGTGGCCTCGGGGCGGGCCTGCCTGGAGCACGTGCCTAGCGCGTCAGCACCAAGGCGCCTGCGAGGCGAGGGCGGCCCGGCCTAGGGGAAAAACGTTGAGTCCGGCCGCGGCGTCCGCCGCCCCATATTTAGAGAGCATGTGTCGTCCGTGACACTCTCAACCGCCGCGACCGTGGGAGGTTACGCGGCCGAGGTGGAGACGTGCAAAAGACACAAAGTAAACAGTCAGAGCAGCCCTAATCGAGTGGTAAACAAGCGTGGCTAACTACGAAGAAAGCAAACATCCAAGCCGGTGCCAACCAGTCCGGGGGCACGCAGAGGCTTTGGGTGGGGGCGGGGGGCAAGATTCGGAGCTCTTCCCGAACGCAGCCTGGGGGCTGCGAGGGCGGGAGAGGAACAGACTGGGGCAAAGGAGACCTCTTGGGTGCGCTGGAAAAAACCTGGGTCCAGGCTCTAAGCACTAGACACTTAGTTAACAGCTGTGTGACTAGGAAAATTACCAAACTTATGGCCTCAATTTGATCATCTGTAAAGTGGACATGATGATACTTGCACTGCCTGCCCTCGATATCAGGAGAAATATGCTCTTAAACGAGAGGCCCAGAGGGTTCCTTATTAGCAGTATTGCTTACTGTATCCCTTCCCACACAACTGTGGCAGGCAGTTACCTAGGGTGTCATATGGGAGTGTGAAAGGGATAACTGTTCACGTTTTTACAAAGCATATTTTTTTTAATTCCAGAAACCCTCATCCCCTTGGCTCTTAGTATTTATTTTCTGATTGGTCACGTGTATCACAGTGAAGGCTCAAAGCCTCAGGTGGGTGATTGAGGGAGAGAACAATTTTCAAAACGCGGGAGGGACAATTTATCCTGGCAGTGTTTATACACATACTGTATCTGAACTGAGATTTTATAATTGCAGATGCTGGAAAAATTGTTGGGCCATTGGGGACCCTGGACTTCAGTGTGTTCTTCCTCCAACCAGACAGCCCCAGACAAAACCTGAAGAGAAATATTCATATCTGCTCAGGTCACCATGTAGGTAAGGTAAGCTCTAACTGGAGAATACCATGTCTCTCATACCCTTACAGCCTCCAGGGGACGCCCACTAGCACCCGACCTTGAAGATGGAGTCTCAGAAAAAGGTATAGCAAAGAAAACAGTATATGCAATCATTACAACAATGTATAAATAGAACCACCATAAAACAAGTGAAATTATAAATAATATACTTGGTCCCAAAGAAAATAGGAGACATCTCCCCTCCTCTCCTTTGCACAGGTAGGGTTCTACTGGTGTGCAGCATTAGCATTGCATTAAGTGCCTGATTTTTTCCATATATTGGTTTTACTGAATTTTTTTTCTTTAAAAAAAATTGTTTTAAGGGATAGCTTTTTGGGGAGAATTCTAGGAAATGTAAAAACATCAATAAGAATCTGTTTTTAAAAATAATATATAAGGGAGTAATTAACCACAAAGAAATTTTAAATGGGGTTTGGGTGGGAGTAAAGAGGGTTCAAATTTTTGGAGGGCTGTGAGGTAAAAGCTGAGGGCTGGGGTATACAGGGTTGCTGCTAACCCTAAGGTTGAGTATACCAGGCTGTATATGGGGCAAGTAGTGCAAGATGAAGTAAGATGATTTGCTGTCTCAGCACTTCCTGGTCAGAGACTGAATCAGTCACTGGATCCCTTGGCAGAAGAGTCCCAACTCACTAAATTTCTCTGCTTATGGTGGTGAACAGAGGGTTAGGAATGTCTGTGGCTCAGATTAGTCTGCATGTTGGAAGTGTATGGCAATTCTTAGCTGGACTGGGTCTGCAGAAGACTGGAGGAGTAAAGGAAGTACAGAGGGATTGGTAGGCAGATGTCAGACTTAATTGTTTTTTCTTTTAAAATGTTTCATTAATACTTTCCACCCCTTTTTTATATCACTGTCACTTCCCAATGACTCCCTCCTCTGCCATCACTAAATAGAAGTACTCCTTTAAAGAAAGTACAGTCAAGAAAAACAAACTAACATATTGGCCATATTTGAAACTGTATTCCTCATTTCACATCTATAGTCTACCACCTCTTAGCCAAGAGGCAAGGAGTCATGTTTCACTCAGTCCTCTGAAGTCACCACTGATCATTGCATTAAGCAGTAAGGAACCCTAAGGAGGAAATGGTAGGCAGCATATATCAAGCAACTGAAATTACCATCACCACTTTGACCACGATCTCCCCTCAGACTCTGATAGAGACGGCCTAGAGCCCTCAACCCAAGAGCCTTAGGAATAGCACTGCCCCACAAACCACAAGAGCCATCACTGAAGAGAGTAATCATTGTGGAGAGTGGGCTCACTTTCTTCATCACCACCAGCAACAGTTGCTAACCAACTGCCACCAGTAGTTACGCACAGGAGCCTTGGAGTCAGTAGTACTCTCCAGATCACCAGTTCTGCTTCCAGTCTAGCACTTAACAGCCATCATCCAAGGAAACAACTCCGGTGGGCAAGGGACCAGCCATTCCCACCAACTGCTAACAGGGCTGGCTAGCTAGCCCACCTGAAGCAGCAGTATACCCTGAGGGAGACAGGAGGCAGCCTGTGTGTGGCAAGCGAAACGACCATCATCTCTCCTTAGTCCCTAATGGAAACAGGCCAAGACCCTGAACCCAAGAGCCCTGGGAATAGCAAACCAATGTCCACAGCCACTGGACATTGCTGGGAAGCAACTCTTATGTAGAGGGGCAGCCTGGCAACTGCTCCTGTAGGTGCTTCAGCCACAGCTACTCAAGACCCAGAAAGGAACATTCTTGCCACCAAAGTCCTTGGTACTGTCAAGTGGTCAAACATCAGAAACTATGATTTTATGAAAATATTTTATCAACAGAAATGACAAAAGCAGCATTGGTGTCAGCTTTGTCACTGTATTCTAAGGACCATAAGATTTTTCCATTTAATTTGCAACTCAAATTCTGCATATGTATTGTCCCCCCACCCCATTAGAACATGAGCTTCTTAAGAGGAACTAGTCTTGTTTTTCTGTTTTGTATCCCCAATGTTTAGCACATAGTAAGCATTTAATATGTGCTTCATTCATTCATCCACTTATTCTTTCATATGTCTTCTGATGTCTTTTAATGGTCAAACCTCATTTTAAGGCTCTAGGAACTCTGTTGAGATTTGTGGCTAATAAGAAGGCATACTCCATTTGAGTCTACACAACCAGGAAGGATTCTAACAGTTTATGATTTAAGAACTGCAACTAAGGAAGAAGTGTTCCAGCTAGGGAAGCTCCATCCCTAACCCTTGGATACTCTGTAGCCTCTAGGTCAACAATGGGAGATGGAAAGGCCCTATCACTGGCTATGTTCCTTTTATGAAATCTTTTCTTCCCACTGCTATGGAATATTCAGTCTAGCCTTGGTGGGTGAATGAAAGATAAATATTTATGTGAGGTTTCAATAAGTTTAGTAAGGGAAGGGAAAGTATAGAGAAACAGGGACACAAGAAGGGAAATACCACAGGCCTAAAGGGCTATGGAAACTAAAGAATGTATATGTCATGAACATCTCTGTTCCTCCCATGTTTCCTCCCAGTTTGCAAATAAGCAGTATATTAGAGATGAAAAGGGAAAGAGGACAGAAAGTACATGAGACATCTGAAGAGCAGTGGAGAGCCCAGTAATTCAAGGAAATAATATCTAAAAGGAGGTAATGGTAACAATACTCATGGCTTCAGCTGTCTATACACAAATGTTCAGATAATAGGTAATAAAGTGATCTAGAGGTCAACTCAAGGTAAAATTCTATTACTGAGGGTTGTGATGTCACTCATGAGTGGAAAATAGATGGCAAGAGAAGCATAGCTCTTATTCAAAAATGACAGTGCAGAAGTGTTGTATCAAAATAAACTCTGGTGAGATTAGTGAATTTGGGGGAAAGGGATGAAGCAGGGTTGAGGGCATCTAGGTGAGGGTCAGGAGCAGGAGTGCACATGCCAGTCACACACAAGAAAGGAATGGGTGATGAGTTCCAGAAGCAGCTTATAAAGCTGGCAATGAAGGAGTGGTATGAGGGGGGGGGGCTTCACCTATCCATGCATCTGCTGGGGCTCCTTCTAAAGTCTGAGGAATTCTACACTTGTCTTGATAATTAAATTAATCAAAAGGTGGAAGAAGTGATAAAAGGAAATCATTCTGACCAAGTACTAAAGAAGTAATGGGAACCAGAGAAGGAAAATATCTTAAGAGGCCATCATAGATAGGGAAGGAAAAGCCAAACCTAGTCTGATGAACCCCCTAGATTTTAGAAGAGTTGATTTTAAAGAATCCAAAGCAGGCCACAGGTTCCCCACCCCTCATCCAGAGAAAGGACAGATAGGATCCCTATGGCCCCAGATTCCACAGAGGAAGTGAGCTTCACAGGGATGAAGATATTCTTCTTCCTCTTTTTTTTTTTTTTTGCTTTTTGATGACACAATCGGGGTTAAGTAACTTCCCCAGGGTCACACAGCTAGTAAGTATCAAATGTCTGAGGCTGGATTTGAACTCAGGTCCTCCTGGAGCTCTACCCACTGTGCCGCCTAGCTGCCCCAGATGGAAGATATTCTTAAGAACAAACTAATGAAACAAAAATAAATTTGATGAGAAAGAAAAAGAGACTAGTGTATATGATTGGTAAATCACTGACAAACAAAATTTTAAAAGATGTACTCAGAAAATGGAAAAAAAAGGCAGGTAACTGAGGATAAAGACAAATGACTGACACAATTTTATAAGAATAATACCACTAACTTGTAAAGCCCAGAAAAGAGCCGAACCTTGTAATGAATGCTGATGAGAACACAAAAGGGCTTTTAAAGATGTGTTAGGGACAAAAAGAAGATTAAGAAAAGATAAAACTACTACTTGGGGTAGATGAGATTATAATGGATGACAGAAAGAAAGCAGAACTCTACTCCATTTTTACTTTGGTTTTGCTTTCTTTGCCAAGAGTAGGAAGTACAGAACAAAAATGTTTAGCAGGGAATTAAAACACCAAGCAGATGAGAAGAATAATGCCTAGCTAACTTCAACAAATACAAGTCACCATGCCAAAAGGAGCTACAGCTTAGGGTGCTGAAAATAATTTCAGATGTGATTGTTAAGCTACTGTCATCGATCATTGAAAAATCAAGGTGCCACAGGACTGGAGTTGGGTAAACGTTGACCCAATTTTCAAAGTGGCAGAAAGGTGGATTTATTTTAAAACTGAGCTGTTGAGCTTGACTAATTCTTGACTTATTAAAAAGAGGGTTTGTGAACATTTAGAAAATAATGACAGAAGGCTGCACTGGCTCATCAAGAGCAGGTCATGCCCATACTAACTTCATTTCTTCTTTTTTTTTGTTTTGTTCTGTTTTGTTTTGGGGTAGGCAGTGGGGTTAAGTGACTTGCCCAGGGTCACACAGCTAGTAAGTGTTATGTGTCTGAGGCCAGATTTGAACTCAGGTCCTCCTGAATCCAGGGCCGGTGCTCTATCCACTGTGCCACCTAGTTGCCCCCCCATTTCTTTTTTTTTTTTTTGATGGAATTTCTAGCCTGATTGATAACAGAGGAATGTTGTAGACACAGTATACCTGCATTTCAGTATACTTTAGAGAGGCAGCATGAATAGAGTATTGTATTGGGCCTGGAGTCAGAATGATCTGGGTTTCAATTCTTTTTCAGATACTTACTAGCTGTGTGACTATGGGCAAGTCACTTAGCTCAACAGCTGTTTCCTCATCTGTAAAATGGAATAACTGCACCTATTTCAAAGGGTTACTGTAATGATCAAATGAGATAATATATGGAAAATACTTTGCAAATCTCAAAATGCAATATCAACTTCAGTTATGATTATTATTAATTGCTACTACTATATTTTAGCATACTGTGGCAGGCAGGAAAATGTTCAAGTCCTGCCTGTGATACATAATGCCTGTGTGACTGGACAAGCTGCTGAACCACTCAGTGCTCTAGGCTATTTTCTAAGACTGTAAGTTTCTGAGAAGGTATCAACTTGAATTAATTAGTAAAGGACTTGCTTACTCAGGAGTTCCCCATACCAATGAAATCACAGGTCCTATTCCTATCCCATATCTCACCAAAGCATTTGAGAGTCTTTCATAATATCCTGTGAGGGGGCAGCTAGGTGGCGCAGTGGATAGAGCACTGGCCCTGGAGTCAGGAGGACCTGAGTTCAAATCTGGTCTCAGACCAGACACTTGACACTTACTAGCTGTGTGACCCTGGGCCAAGTCACTTAACCCCCACTGCCTTGGAAAAAAAAAAGTGAGGAATGTAGATCGCTTTCTGGATCCATAGGCCACTTAAAGAAAGCTACAAAATCATAATATCTTGTGAGCAATATAGAAAGATATGATCGAATGATAGTCTTCAAATATTTGAAGTTGGGTGGATTAAAAAAAGCTATTAGTTGATTGTTGTCAAACTTGAAGAAGTCTCTACTAGCTTGTCAAAGGGCTTTAACCCTTGGCTGTCCTTTTGAATGTATATCTCACATGCTTCTCAGTTTTCAGATGATATGGCACTAGTAAGGATAGCTAAGGATAGCTGGATGGCAGAACTATGATCCACAAAGACCATGACAAACTAAAATGATAAGCCACACTGAATAAGATGACAATTAGTAGGGAAAACTGTCCAGTCCACCAATGTGTACAGATCCAGGAAGGGGGTGATTAAAAATTCATGTTTAAAAAAAAGAAAAGCCTGCAAGCTCAGCATGAGTCCAAATTGTGGCATGGCACCCTCCAAAAAAGCTCATGTGGCTTTCGACTGCCTTAACAGGAACACAGTGAATTGCACCAGATGCTAAGGCATGGATGGGTTGAGATCTGCAAGTGACAGTCCCATTGTGCCCTACCAAACTCTGACTAAATTTGGAGTACTGTATTCACTTCTGGGTATCTCTTATTAGGCAGGACACTGACAAACTGTACTACGTCTGCAAGAGGGTGACCACTATAGTGAGAGGACTTAAAACCACTTGATCATTTGAAAAAACCGGGAGATGTTTGGCTTGGAGAAGAGAAGTCTAGAGGGGAATATGTTAGCTGTCTAGGTTTTTGAAGGGCTGCCATGGAGAAGAATTAAACTTGTTTTTCCTTGGATCCTGAGAGCTGACCAATGGATGAATGGTAGTAAGACAGAAATTTTGCTTCAGTATAAGGAAACATTTCTTCACAGATTTGTCCAAAAAACTAGAACTGACTGTCTTGTATGTCTAGTGATGGGTTTCTAATTACAGCAAAGACTAGGTGACCAAATGCCAGAGATGTGGTAGAGGAGACTCCTGGTCAGGCTGGATGTATGTGAATAAGCAGTTTTCAAAAGAAATCCAAGCTATCAATAGCCATATGAAAAATATTTTAAATCACCAATGATTAGAGAAATGCAAATTAAAACCACTCTAAGGTTCCACTTCCCACCCATCAGATTGGCATATATGACAGAAAGGGAGAATAACAAATGTTGGAAAAACAAGTACATTAATACACTGTCAAACTGTGAATTGGTCAGGCCACTCTGGAAAGTAATTGGGAACTATGCCCCCCAAATTACTAAACTGTATCCTTTGAGCCACTGATATTACTACTAATCTTATTCCTCAAAGAGATAAAAGAGAGAGGAAAAAGACTCATATGTATAAGTTAGACTGGATCCTGTCTCAGGTCCTAGATGTCAAATCCTATGATTCCATGACCTCTGAACTCCTCACTTTTTAATAGCCTTTTTCTCACCTTTCCTCATCTTTTGGAGGCCCCTCCATCAGCACATAACAAAACAGATACCAACTCCCTGCCAGAGACTGACTAGGTCACTTTGCTAGACTCCTTAGAACACAAGGAATGAATTTGGGAGGGCCACCAGAGCGGGTTCTGACAGAATATACAGAGCAATCCTCAGTCCCCATGGAAAAGAAGGTGCCCATTTTGTTAGATGTTTCCTCTCACCATAGGGCTGTGTCTGTCCTAACACCACCAGGTCTCACTACAGGGGGTTACCTATCCTCCCTATCTTCCTGGATAGCCTTATCCTTTCCTTCTGATTCCTTTTTACTAGTGTTTCCAGTTGCCCTTTTTGTGCAATTTCACAAACTCCCTGGTCTCCTTAAATGTCCCTTCTTAAGACTCTGCTCCAGCCAGGTGCTACTGCCACATGTCCCCATCTCCTTTTTATTCCTATAAAAAGTATCCCACAGCTCTACCCACCACACATGAGAGCTGACAAGTAGCTGGGTAAGGATATGGAACATTCTATTAAGAGGACACCAGGCACTGGCCCTGGAGTCAGGAGGACCTGAGTTCAAATCCGGCCTTAGACACTTGACACTTACTAGCTGTGTGACCTGGGCAAGTCCCTTAACCCCAATGCCTACCCAAAAAAAACAAACAAAGAGGATACCAGGATGCATCAGATAGCTGAAGGACCTACTATGATTTCCCAAATTAGAAGTAAAATCCTGAGCTGGCCTCTGATCCAAGGAAGTATTTCTTAAATTCCTTTGTGATCCAGTTCCTCTTCTAGCTGCTGGAAAAGCCCAAAATGTTAGAGATAGAAAGAAGAGATCTCAAAGTTCAACCATCCCTTCCCCTCTTCTGCCATTTACAGATGAAATAATTGAAATGCCAAGAGAAAAAATGACTTACCCTAGGTCACTCAGTCACAGCAGCAGAATTTGAACCCAGGTCTTCTGGTCCAGGGGCTCCAATTTTGGACAACCTGAATATTCTCTTGCCATCTAACTTCCACCTTTCCTGCTGCAATTGCACCAGTCTCCCTCGTGGGGTGAAGGCCAGAGGGCTTGGGCTCTCCAGTCTAACAGGCCAGAAGGGGCCACCCTCTGCAGCTTTAGATGGGAAGACCAGCATCCGACCGAACCAAATAAGTCAATGAACCAAAGTTATCAGAAACGTGTATTTTTTCTTTTAATAGTAAACCTCTTTACAACAAATATAGTGAAAGAGTTTTCAAACAAAACTCATAAGAACTTGAGGACTTTTTTGTCTTTTCTTATTGTGTAGAATACCAAGAAAGCATCACCATACAGCACGGAAAGAAATATTGAAAACAAATCAACAGCCACACACTTTCGACTCCCCTCGCCCCCAGGACCCAGTCAGAGCCATAGGGGAGTGGGTGATTGTCAGGTTTGGGAGTGGGGGGTAGGGTTGGGGAGAGGATGGAATACCTCCTTGAGTTTTCCACTCCCCTTCCTCAGACCTGGGCTGGGGAGGGACACAAGAGAATCCAGATTCTCCATCAAAAATAATCCAGCCCCACCCAATCCCATCCCTCCTATCAATGTTTCAAGGGAGGGGGGCAGAAGGGAAAGCTAGGAGTTTCCGGATTCTGCTCCCCACTTATGGAACCCTAAACTCACCCCCTACCCCCCTCAAGGGATCCTGAAGAGTCAGTTAAAAATATATAGTGATATAGATATTTCTAGATACACTTTTACATCATCTCTGTCTTTCCAAACAAATAAATAAACAGTAAGAGAAGTGCATTGCTTCCTTTCTGTCCAAGGTGGGGAGGATTAGGACTGGGGATCAGTCTCGCTGCTGTATTTAGTGCACTGTTGTAAGGGGTGGTGGTGTTTTGCTTGGGGCGGGGATTCCTCTCACCCATCATCCCTGATAGCTGTCGAAAAATTGGAGGGTGGAGGTGAGGGGTGTTGGCTGTCTCCAGTGGTTGCTTTGGCAAATGCCCAGTTCTAGAGGGAGGGGCTAGGAGGAGGTGTGAGTTTGGCTAGTGAATAGGAAGGGGAGTCACCAAGTCACCAAGAAGGGCCAGGCTCCAAGAGGGATTGCTTATCTAATTGGAAAGCCCGTGACAAACCTTGGGATACTGAACTGCAGAAATGTAACAGACACACACTCATATAGCATTCTGCTCCCCCCTTAAAAAAAAAATCTCCAAACACACATTGACTGACTTACACACATACACACACGCCTAGATAATGCACTGAGGCATGTGAGTGCACTCATGCACATATCCAGAGTTATCCAACATCAGAAATGCCACTGTAGGACAGAAGGCAAACCTGATGAATAGTATACATGCTCAGGGGCACACATACATAAAAATGAAGGGGAGGGGAAGGGAAGAATTCCCCCGGGGTATTTAGTGGTGGGGTGGCTCAGCCGAGGAAAGCTGGATAGAGCCAGGTAGGAGGTAATCTGGCCAAAAAAGGGGAGAATTAGTCACCTGCAAGTGTTTATTGACCACCTACTACTGTGTGCCAGGTACTGTGCTATGAGTGGGACGGGGCACTGGGGGACAGGGTTGGACTTAAAGATGAGTAAGATACAGTCCCTGCCCTTAACTGGGAAGATGGGCATGCTGGAGGGCCAATAATGCTCTAGGCCAGCAGTTCTCCAAGTGTGGTCTGGAGACCACATGAGAGATCATGAGGTCAAAACAATTTTTATAATTATACTAAGATGTTTTAATTTCTAATATGGTAAATATGGATAGACATAAACCACATAAACAAAAGCTCTTTGGAGTCCCCAATAATTTTAAAGAGTCCTGAGACCAGAAAGTTTGAGAACCACTGCTCTAGAGGAATAAATAAGGAACGCACACTGAGACGTGGGACTTATTCAAGGAGGTAGGACTGCATGTATCTGGGCTTTGGAGGAAAGGCAGGATTTAGGGAAGGACAGCACATTCCAGGGATGAACACAGGTAGAGAGGTAGGAAAGTCCAAGGCATGCTGGGAGATAGGAAAGAACCCAGTCTAGCTGGAGCAAGACAATTCCTTTAGGGGGCAAGGTTGGAAAGACAGGACCAAATGGGAGAGCCAGGCGGGACCAGCCGCAAAATCCCCCTTAAAAATGGACATATAAAAATAATCAGCGTTTTAATTTAGCAAGTAAAGATGACTCTCTGAGTAGAGAGAATGTGAGGTCCATAAAGACAGGGATCTTGCCTTATCTAAACTTTGTATCTCTCCCAGCATCTGGCATACTATAAGTGCTTAATAAATGCTTATTGAAATTAATAAATGAAGGGGTGAACAAAGAAGGGAGCTGGACACAGCAACAGAAAATGTCCATGAAAGACTTTTGGGAGAAAAAGAGTTGGGAAGATCAGGAAGCTGAAATGCTGGACAGCTGGTCACTTTATAAACACACAAAGACAGATGCACATACAAGCATGCACATGCACACAAGTATGTGTGCACGTGTGTATACACACACACACACACACACACACACACACACACACACACCCCCTCTGCTTCAGGTTCCTCCCCCATGATTAAGTTTCAGAATACTGCAAATGGCTAGGTCTCTGAGGTGGGTAAATACAGTCACTTACAGAACTAGGCCTCTGCTACCTCTATGTTTCAACTGTGATGAGAGACCTAAGACAAAGCCCCTAGCCCTAGGGCACTGGAGGCACAAGCCAAGCATCAATGTCTGAAAGGATAGGGGAAGACAACCCAGCTCTCCCCACTGCCCCCACCTCACCTCTGTGAGTAAGTATGGAAGTGGGGGATGCTAGGGGACTCCTCCCAGGTCCCTAATGATGTTAGATAACAGCCAAAGATCTGAGGGCCTCAGGCTTTGGCTCCCTCTCTGCCCCCTCCCCCCCCAGCTGCACACATCTGGTGAGGAAATGAAAGGGCAAAAGTGGGGCAAGGGGAGGGCAAGAACAACAGTAGAAGAAGAACAATCTCATCTGTACACTACGGGCCATTTCAGAGTCATTATTATTACAATATACTTTGACAAAAATAGAATTTCATTTCATATCAATACAACAAAAAAACAGTTTCTTGGACTGTTACATAGCCAACATTTCCAAAGTTGCTATTTACAATTACAGTAGCCGAGGGAAAGATGGGGTGTGGTGGTGAGGGGTTGGGGGAAGAGGAGGTGGTGATGGTGGTGGGTGGGGAGCAGGAGGTAGCAAGCTGGTGGGGATGAGGAGGACCAAGAGAAGGGGAGGTGGGGCTAGGGAGAGAAGAATGGGCTGGGGCAGAGCAAAGCTAAAAAAGTGGGCCACCCTAGGACACAACTAGCACTGGACATGAGGCTTGGCAGCTTCCCTCCATCCTACCCCTTACCCTGGCTCTGGGAAACTGTAGGCTCCTCCGGGCCCAGGCCTCTGGTGTATAATCACATGTGAGCAGGGGAGTGGGCATATGCCCCTCCCCTTTCCATGACCTCTATGATAAAAGGATATTCTGACCCTCCCTGACCTGAATGGACCCCGCTCTGTTTGCAATGGTGCCCAGGTCCTCCCAAAAAGCCTAGTGCAGTCTTTTGTTAAGCCAGTCCAGGCCTGCTAGGGTTAGGATCCAGGTGGAGAAGGAGGAGGTGTAGCAGGTGCTCACCATCCTCAGTTTCCTTCCCAGGTTCTGCCAGCATAATTAAGACTGGCTCTGCCCCACCCCCTCCAGGTTGAGGCTTCATTTTGAAAGGCTGGCACCAAGGGCAGAAAGATGGGGTTGGGAATTAGGGAGCTAGAGTGAAAGGGGTGGGTGAGGGAAAGGATGCTATTGCACTGTATATTTTAGAAGAAAACCCCAGAGGAGGGAAAAGGAGGACCTCCTCTCTCTTTACCCCCAGGATTCCCCCTAATGCCTAAGCAGGGGGTACCCCACATCTCTACCCCACACACACTGTGCTGTGAGGTGACCCCCTATTCCATCCCCACCCTCTTCCACTTGGAGAGAGGGAGAGACTCCAAAGTTGCTCCAGGTCCTGGGGGAAGGGGTGACTCTCTCCACCCCATTTGACACTAGACTTCTCAGTATGTGAGGACGTATCTTCTCCTGGATGCCAAGGCCTGCTGTCCTCACACTACAATTGCAACTCTACTCCCTGCCCCTTAGTTTTGGAGAATGCAGCTTACACATGAATCAATGAAGGATGGGGATTATTTTGGAGTTCCAGGCCTGAGCACTCACCCCATACCTAAGCAAGTCTAGGTACATATGAATAGCACTGGAGAGGCAGAGACCCATGGGGATTTTAACCCCAACTCCAGACAGCCCTCCTGAGGCCCTGCAGCACAAGCAGAACAGTGTTGACCCAGGCATCCAGCCCACATTCCCCAGGTCCAAACTAGGTTCTGGGGTTTCAAAGTCCATTTTATGGGGTTTTTTTGGTTACTTCCTCTCTCTTGGGGATGGGGGTGAAGGGAGGTTTCCACATGCAGGGCTCGGCTTCTGCCCCATCCCAAAGTCTTTTTGGGGTCCCCCCTCCCCCCCCTGCAGCATATGTGTACAACGTGCAAATTGTCCCCCCCAAAAAAGAGTGTCCCCCCCATGAAAACGGAGGGGAGAAGAAAGAGAAGGGGATGCTTCCCCCTCCCAGAAGCGAGAGTTCAAATTAAAAAAATAATAATAATAATATAATAATAATAATAATAATTATACACAAATGTAACCGTCAACAGGACACGGAGCACAAGAAAGGGATAAGGGGGTCGAGCGGGGAGGAGCCCGGGACTGGGAGGGGCGGTGAGATTGTCAACTCTTCAAGAGGGAGGTTGATAGAGGAGGGGGAGGCTCATCACTTTAATGTCTGTAGAGAGAGGAGATGTAGAAGGAAGGTATGAGGGAGTGCTGGGTCTGGGAGTGCCCCTTCCCCGAGTCCCCACCCTTACTCCTAGATGTGACCATGCCTCTTATGGAGAGGTCAGCTCTGAAAGGATGGAGATTAAACAAGAGCTTTCTGGGGGAGGAGGGGAAGGAGATGAATTTAACACACGTAAGGGGTGGGCGGGGCAAGTAAGATGATTGGGAAGGAGCTAATGTTTCAGTGAGAGGAACAGATGGAAGCTAGATTTCAAGAAGAACTTTCAAAGGGAGATAAGACAGGGAAAAAGAAACAAAACTGATGAGGTCCCTGATGTGACAGGAGGGAATGGGCTAACACTGCAATGGGGGGGGGGCGGGGAGAAGAAAGGAGGTTAGAATGTTGGGAGGACTGCCCAGATGAAAGGGAAGAGGTCACGTTACCCAGGTGTCCAGCCGCATCCGCTTCACTGCCGAGCTTTCAGTGTCGGGCTCTGGGGCTGGACGGAGCAGCCCCAAGGTAGGCCCGAAGTCACCCCTCCCGTCATCCCGCTCCCCAGCTTCATAGGATGCACTGGCAGGGCTGCTGAGGCCATCCCCAGGCTCAGGCCGAGCAGGGGCTGGGAAGGGGGCAGGGGCTGGTGGTGCAGGGCTGCGCTCTCTGCTTGGGGACACCGGCTCTGACTTGATGCTGATGTGGGGGTGGGTGGTGACGGTGAGGGCTGCAGCAACGTGAGGCAAGGGACTGCCCGGGCTGAGGGCCGGGGTAGGGGGAGGGAAGGGAGAGACACAAAGGGATGAAGAGGTTGAGGGAATAGAGTTAGGAAAGAATGAGACAAGAGGAGGACCGGACACAGAAGGAAGGGGAGGGAGAGTCAGAGTTGGGAGCAGGGTCAGGTAGGGAGAAAAAGTAAACAAAGATTAGTTTTCTTTCCGGTCAGGTCTGGGAAGTCTGCCTGTGAGGACAGGCATGGGCCCTCTGGGCTGTCCCCTCCCCTACCAAGAAACACAAAGACTGATACTCACATGAGGTTGCTGAGAGACACGGGGACCAGGTGGGATTGTTGCTGCTGCGGCGGCGGTGGCTGGGGCTGCTGCTGTTGGGGCTGTGGCTGTGGTTGTGGTGGTGGCTGTTGTGGTGGCTGGGGCTGCTGCTGGGGTGGCTGTGGCTGTTGTTGCTGTTGCCAGGCAGTGACGTTGCCTAGCGACAGTCCCCCAGTTGAGCTGAAAGCTGGGAGGGAAGAGAGCTCTGCGCTGGTCAACTGATAATCTGCAAAGGAGAAAAGAGCAGTGAGAGCTGAGCCTGGTGGCCAAGGGGAAGAGGCAAGCAGGGAGCCTGGCAGGGCTGTCGGCCAGAGAAGAGAAGGGAAGGGGGACGAAGGGCTAGCTGAGGAACCCACAGGAAGTATGTGGATGGGTCACGCCTGTGTAACAGTGCTATCTGAAGACAAGTCAGTGAGTCCACAAAAAGCTCCACTTTGGGTCTAGTATCGCTGTAGCTACCTCATCTCCAAGGAGCTTTGGAGGAGACAGAAGGGACCCGTGATAAAAGCTACAGGTAGCTAAGTCAGCACTTCATGTACCTTCTTCCTTAGCCCACCACCTTTCCCGCTGCAACGTCCCTACGTCTCCTAAAAGTTGCCAACGTAGCAAAGAAGTAGGAAACCATGTGTATGAAAGCATGGCACCTCTCCCCTTCCCCAACCTGCCCTTGCAAACACCCAACTTCAGAAAGGGATGGGATCTCAATAGCAGTAGTAGCTGTACTAGCAGCAACTTATACTTCTAATGCACTCAAAATGGAGCTAATAAGTCATTACTGATTGATAGTTTCCTTCCTAAAAACCCTGAAAGGTAGGCAGTGCAAATATCATTATCTCCATATTACAGCTGCAGAAACTGAGATTCAGAGAGGTTGCCATTGTCACACAGCTGGCTAAGTACAATAGAGAAGATTTCATTTCTATCCACGGCACAGGACTGTTATAAGGAAGGTTGTTTATAACTATTAAAACACTATGGAAATACAAGTTACTATCTTCAACATCATCATCATCATCATCATCTGGGGCCTAGCCCCTCACCTTCAGGCAGCTAGGGTAGAGATAGCTCCATTTTACAGATGAACAGACTATATGACCTCCGTGAAGGTGAGGGAGGTTCACTGTCACCAAGCACACTATTTTTGCCCACTAGGTACTTAGGAAACACTGGTTGAGTTGAATTGAATTGAATAAGGTAATGAAGGCCTGTCCGAGCTAAAGATATCGTCCAAGGCTGGAGAGCCAGCAAATGTATGTGCCCTCTCAGGGGTAAGGAAGGGCCAACCAAAGTCTAGATTCCCAAGCACAGCACCCTGAACACCAGGGGTTTTCAAAATTTGTTCCCACATAAACAAAAGCCCTTTGATGAGAGAGGTGAGGGTGGAGATCCTTAATATTTAAGAATGTAAAGAGATCTTGAGACCACAAAGTTTGAGAAACACTGCTTCACTCTATACTACACAGATGATCAATGTCCACAATCTGGCTTACGTTAACATCAGCCAGACAATCTTGATATTAGCCAGAAGGTCTGTGCATTGTTCGTTCTTACAAACAACAAAAGATAGAGTAATTAGTAAGATGTGTATCTTCATCAGGATGTCCTTTAGACATATCAAACAACATGCTGGAAACAGAACCCACTATCTCTCCCCCTAAACTCATCCCTCATCTAATCTTCCCTGTTTCTACTGAGGGTATCATCATCCTCCCAGTCACCCAGATTCACCATCTTGGAGTCATCCTTGACTCTTTCTTCTTCCCCAACCTCGTGTTACCCAGCCAGCTGCCACGTCCTCACTCTTCTACCTCCACAATACCTCCTATATCAGCCCCCTTCTCTCCAATAACACTACAATCCCCCTCAGCTGAACAACCGCCAAAGCCTCCTACCTTCCTCACCTTGGCCTTTTGGAATCCTTCAACGCTCAGCTTCCTCATTACTGCCTCTTGATTGTTTGTGCTCATGTACAGACTGACCAGTTTTGGTTCAGGATCACTGTCCTCTGTGCTGCCAACCCCCACTCCCCATGCCCCCAGCCCCATGTAAGATCCCAGAGGGCATGGGCACTTTTCACTTTGCCTTTGTATCCCCAGCACCTAGCACTCTGCCTGGTATACAGAAGGCTCTTAATAAATGTCTGTTAAATGAATGGCAGCCACACAGTTCTAGGCTTCAAAGGGTCAGCCACATGGTTTGTTTCATAGGCTAATAAAAAGAACTGGGAGCAACACGCCCCCTTTTGGAGAGGCCCCAAAAGCAAAGCGCTCTAGTTAGTTTTGGTCTGTCCTTCCCAGAAGGTCTATTTGTCTAATGATGAATTCTGTTGGCTAATGTGGATATTAACCAGAATTTAGGCAATACCTGAGGCTCGAACTTGAATGTGGGCCAATGTCTATAAGCAGGGAACAACTATTAGCAAATTCAGTGGAGTCTTGTTTACACTTCTGCTGCTGATTAGTTATATCTGTTGTTTAACTGGAGTCCTCTTCAGTATATCACAATCACTTACTTTCCTATGTACAAACGGGTGAAATTTTTCATCTCCTAGCAGGGAAAAAGCCTGGGTTCTTATTACTTATGTCTACACATTATTCTTCTTCCCAGCAGAATGAGAGACGAGGGTTGAATGAATTTGCTAAAAGCCTTTCCTGTTTGTTGATACTAGTTAATATTTAGCCCCATCTTACATGGAGGAAAATAGAATATTAAGAAAAACAGAGGCTTTATGTCTCAGGTCTAGATATAAGCCTAGCATCTCAGTGGAGAAAGCCAGGAAGACCTAGGCTCAACTACAAAGCAAACTAGCTTTGTGACCCTGGGCAAGTCACAGAACTGATCTGTGCTAGTCTAGGCAAGTATCTAAGACTGTAAGTTACAGAGAAGGAGCTGATCTGCATTAGTGGAGGGAGTTTCTTCCTCAAGGAGTTTCTGCATCGATGAAATCAGGTCCAGCCTCTAACCCCATCCCTTACTCTGAAGTAAACTCCTATATTTGAAAATCCAGAAGGGCAGGATAAATAAGTTAGGGGGCCAATCATCAGTGTTCCCAAGCCTGCTAGAATAGGGAAAAGTTCTAGACTAGGCCGAGGAAGATGGGGGCTCCAACACCAGCTCTCACATTCACCAGCTAGTATGAATCACAGAACATGGACACTGCAACAGTCCTTAAAGAACAGCTAACCCAGTCCCCTCATCTGCCAAAGGAGGAAACTTGGGCCCAGAGAGGTGGTGGTGCACAGGCAAGTTGGCAGCGGGGCCAAGACCAGAAAGTCAGGCCTGTTAGGCCCGGGCTCAGACTGACTGCTACACCACACTGTGCTGTCACTTTACTTCTCTGCCTCAGTGTCTTCAACTGCAAAATGAGGGACCCTCCCAGCTCCAGCATTCTGTGTCCCCCTCAGTCCTTTCATACCACCCAATCCTTTGGCCCCTTTAAGATTTTGGCAATACGCCCCCTGAAGAGCAAAGGGCCATCTTCACTTCATGAGGAGGGTTTTCAAGTGCAAGCAGGAAAAGCTGGGCAAGCACAGAACAGCACCAAGGTGCTGCTGCACATTTTAGGAAGGGCACCAATGAGCTAGAGAGGATCTGGGGGTAAGCCACATGCCCATGCACGCATGCATGTGCACACAATTTACAGACACCCACAAGAAGAGGATTTGGTCTCTGACTCTCATTCAGATCTCTGCCTCTGGGCTCTCAGCCTTCCCATGGGCTTCAGTCTGACTCTGGACATGGGGCCAGACTGGCTTACATGAAGGAGCCTTACAGTGGGTGTCTGCACTGTTATTTAATGCTTTCTGGGATTTTATCATTATAATGAAGTACATTTTTTTCTTTTACCGCACAGGGTACCCAGTGTTTGTTGGGATCCTGACAGGCTAGAGCTGGGGTCGGCAAAGTGGCCCTCAGGCTAAATTTGGCCTGCCAAATTTTTTTGTTTACATCATTAAAAAAAACCCACCACATTTAAAACTGTAAAAACCAGTCTAAGGACCCCATAAAAATAGGCAGTGGGCTGGGCTGGTGTGGATCGATCCCCACCCCCCACCTCACCTCCCACCCTTGCCTCTGGACTTGAGCACTGGGCTGAATCTCATAAAATAACAGGGCTAGATGTAAAGACTAATATTGGATTCAAAAAAATCAACTCTGGAAGTACAAGAGGAGAAAAGTATGAGTAGACAACAGTTATGGCACAGGCAAGCAAGCTAATATAATCTTAGGCTTGATTATAAGAGGGATCATTTCAGCCTGAGAGAAGCAATGGTCCCATTTTACTCTAATTGGGTCAGACCACTTCTGCAATACTGTGTTCAGTTCTGGGCATGACATTTCAGGAAAGGGGAGGAGTTATATCATGCCTACTATGTGCCAGGCACTTGACAAATACTATCTCATTTGATCCTCACAACAACCCTATGAGGTAAGGGCTATTATTATCCCCATTTTACAATTGAGGAAACTGTGACAAACAGGTGAAGTGACTTGCCCAGGGTCACACAGTCTGTAAGTGTCTGGGCCAGCACTCTATCTCCTTCATCACCTCAATGTCTCACTAACACTGATAAAGTGAAGTGTTTGGAGGAGGACAACCCATATAGCAAAGAAGCTTGAGATCCTGCCAAACGAAGCTCCCTTGACATTTCAGCCCCTACTGGGGCTGTTTAGCCTTGAGATGAAGACTTAGAAGGGCCATGGTGACTGTCTTCCAGTGTCTGAAGGCTCTGGAGTAAGGGAGGGCTTAGCTTTATTCTGTTTGATGCCAGAGGGCAGGGCAATGGGTCAAAGTGGCAGAAAAGCCCAACCCTTCTTGCCAGGGCTGCCTCCGAAGGGAGCGGGTCCCTCTCAGTCCTTCTGCAGAGACTGAACAGCCCCTTGTGGGTTGTGTCATGGAGGGGATTAGTAAACTCAGGAGGAGAGGCTTACAGGCCATCTGGTTCAGCGCTCCATCTCAAGCAGAGCCTGGACAGCCCTATGTGGGTATAAGAGCAGTGGTGGAGAGGGCCTCTTTTTATTTCCCCAGGTTTCCTAACTACCTTCAGTCTACTGGGATCAAATCTAGACCCCTTCCTTACCAGGAAGCCTCACTTACTCATGCAGTAGAAGGAAAAACAACAACAAACCCTCTGTGAGAAGACGGTAAATGGATTTCACAATCTATTCTCCAATGTGGGCACTGGAACAGCTGGGACCAGCATAGTCCTGGGGGCAGGGTGTATCTGCCTATTCCTAATTCCACCCAGAGGCCTCTACCAGCATCCTTGAGGCCTCCAGGCCTTCAGTCATCCCTCCCTTCCAATCTCTCTCTCATCATCTTCCCTGACCCCCTGGCCCGCACTTCCCAAGGAAACCGGATAAACCTGCCCCCAGCCCTGCCCTATCACTCACTCCAGCCCTTCTCTACACTCTTCAAGGAGGCTCCTTCGGTCTGCCTTCTTCCTCCACTCACTCAATGCCCTCTGTAACTTCTCAGCCTTGACAGCAAGAGCTCTGTTCACCTGGATCATCTGTTTTTGTTTGTGGCTCATTTTCCCCATCAGGCCAAAAACTCTCTGAGGACAGGGACTACAGTCCTTTTTCCCTCTCTTTCTCCAAGGTTTTCAGCACTCAGCTCTGCCCCCATCTCCTGGAAGGATGCCCTAGGCCCCACTGGATGAGAAGATACCTGTGCTGGGCCAGGACTTAGATATACACTCACCTGTGTTGTAGGCTGTGGGCATGGAGGAAAAGGGAAGCCCTTGGCTGAGTAAACTGGGTGTTGCCACAGAGACCACAGGAGTGGTGAGTGAGTGGGTGGACTGAGAGACCCCAAGACGCTGGGCATTGTTCTGTAGAAAGAAGAGGACCGTAAGAAGGAAGGCAGGATGATGGGAGCTGGTCTTCTACCCAACCCCATCCCCACCCCCAGTCATAAAGTCAGCACCAGGCCATGTGTGGGGACCAGGGTCTCTATTACAAGATTTAGTGATGAAACCCTAGAAATCATCTAGTCCTACCCCTCTTTCCCCTCTCTTTTACAGAGGAAGAAAACTGAGGTCCTGATCCCAGGGGGGGTTGTGTCAAAATCACAGGGATTCTGACTCCAAATCTTGGGTTCTTTCCATTGCTCCATCCTGTCTTGCCCCATCCCCTACTCCCCCAATTTAGGTCCTCGTGGGTAGAGCCACCCCCAGGGTGGCGGGTCATCAGTCAGTGTAAAGGGGGGGCCATACATAGCACGTCTCAGACACAGAAACAGAGACACATCCACATTCAGAGACACAGACTCAAAGTTACAACGTGGGCCTCCTGGCCAGAGGACCACTAGTCTGCCACTATCCATCTCCTCAGCCCCCCAGAAAGGGAAAAGATAAATGAGATATGAGGAGCATCTTGTTCCCTTGGTCTTGTCCAGTCCTCCTCAAATCCACCCGTAATCCTTCACACTGCAACTCACACCTTGACAGAACGATGCTAGAGTTTTGTGAGGGAAGAGGGTGTGGAACAATGCTGATGGGGTGTGTGTGATTATGTGTGCATACTTGAGTGTGTGTGTGTGTGTGTGTGTGTGTGTGTGTGTGTGTGTCCCCGAGTATGGGGCTGTCAGCTCCATCTGCCGCTGAGTCACTTGTTTATTCCGACTCCACGCTGAGGCCGAAACTGCCGCCGTGTCGCCGCCAAAGCCTGCCTGCCTTTTCCAGCCTCCTTTGGCCCCGAGTCAGGAGCTAGGGAGGGAGGGAGGGAAGGAGGGAGGGAGGAAGGAAGGAAGGAGGAAGGAAAGGAGGGAGGCGTCAGCAGCCCCTGCCCTACTCCTGGCTGTGACAGAATCTGTCTGTGTGTCTGTGGACACGTATGTAACTGCTTGTGTGTATACACATACACATGTGTGTTTGCCAATACTGGGGATGAGGGGTTAGGTGGCTGTACTCCCCTAGGAAGAGGAGAATCTGCCTCTGGCTTTGCTCCCCATTTCCCCTGCTCCCTCCCCCTGCTGTCCCCATAGGAGGACATGATTTTGTTGGAGATGGGTCAAAGGTGAGTGGGGCACAGAGTCTATCCACTTTAATGGTCTACTCCAGGTGCTCCAGGACACAACCTCAGGGATGCCTGAGGCTGCTCAGTAGCAGGGTTTCCACAGGCACCCCACAGGGAAATCCACGGAGACAGACACATTTTCTAACAGTAGAGAACCATTTGCACAAAAGCAAATACATATAGACAAATATAGCCCACCCTTCCATATACATGTGTACACACACATATATATACACACACATGCACACAGATACATGCATGCCTGACCCTCACAATTAGATTACAGTGCTCCCAAAGGGCATGGACTATATCTTCAATATCTCTGTTTTGTGCACCAAGTTACACACTGAGTGGGCACTTACAATCAATGTCTGTCAAATGAAGGAATGTCCATATACATGCATAGCACACACGCACACACACACACACGCACACACACAGAGATACACATTCACATGAGCCCCAGGGTGCACATGCACAAACACACTCCATGCTTGAGATTCAAGTGTCAGTATGCACCACGTCAGAATGGTAGTCTAAAGTCATAGGCACCATCCAGGGCCCACACATAGCCAGTACTTACCAGATCTAAATGGTCCTCAGTCTGGGAGCAGAAATAAAACCAACAGGGCTAGTTCAGTCTCTGATCACTGCCCCTCTCCGCCCCTCTCTTCCTAAGGTCATATTTGTCCTCCAGACTCAGGGCAGAGCATCCTCTTCTCCTCCTTCTCCCCCTCCCCTCCCCATCTCCTAGACAGAGATCTCTACTTTTGTTAACTGCTGTCATCTCCTCCATTACACCTTATTCTACCCGGGCCTGTCAGGAAGTCCATCTGAGCCTAGGCTCTGCCCCTCCACCTGTAACATCTATCTCTTCATATCCATATCCATATCCATACACAGCACATCCATCTCATCTCTCCACTGACATCATCCTTGTTGGTTGTATCAGTCTCTAGGGCAGGGCAGGTCCTCTTTTCTGGTGAGAAAGAGTCCTGGCCTCCACCTTGACTTGGGTGGGAGGCAGAGAGAGGAAGGCCTGATTTCCCTAACTTGTCCCTCAAAAATCTTTGCTCCCGTCTGACCTTCGTCCCTCCTGCTGAAGTGTGACGCTTTCTTCTGTACCTCCCCTCTCGTCCCCTTGTCATCCCCAACAACTCTCCAAGGGCCAACTCACCAAGTGATGCATTAACCCCTTCCCGCCCTGGGACGTGATGACTCGAAGGTCCGGCTTTCTGCTGGGGGCCCCAAGCTGGGCACTGTGGGTGGGTGGGGGTGGAGACTTGGCGGGGATGACTTTGCTCAGGCTGTTGCCATTGGCGACAGGGAGGAGGCCAGGGGAGGCCCGGGCACTGACATAGCCATTCCCTGGAGGAGAGGATTCAAAGGATGAGAGAAACATGGATGCCTCCCTCTGCCACAGGCCCCGCAACATCCCTTACGTCCACATACTGCCCCCCACTTAGTGCCAGCTCATCTGGGTTCAGGAAAGGGCATCCATCTGGTCCCTTTCCTGGAGCTTTCTTAGCCTTGGGAAGAAAGGCAGAGGGAAGAGAGGAAGAACAATCACATCTCCATCTCTGTAACGCTGCCTCCTATGAGACAGATTTGTGAAGGGGTACAAAGAATGCTAGGAGAGGCAGCTAGGGGGCGCAGTGAATACAGCTCTGGCCTTGGAGTCAGGAGGACCTGAGTTCAAATCCAGCCTCAGACACTTAACACTTACTAGCTGTGTGACCCTGGGCAAGTCACGTAACCCAATCGCCTAAGTAAAAAAAAAAAAAAGCCCAGAAGACCTGGGTTCAAATCTCCTGGTTCTGCTACTCACTAAGGTGTATGACCTTGGGTAAGTAACTTAACCTCACTGGAACTCAGTGTTTTCTTCTGTAGAATGGGGATAATAAAACACACCTAATAAATATATTATGAGGATCAAAAGCGTTAATGTACGTAAAGGGCTTTGTAAACTGTTTTTAAAAGCTATATGAACATCAGCTATTATCATTATATTATTCATGCCCTTGCCACAAGGGGTGGGGAAGAATGAAATCTGCTGGGGTAAGGCAGGGAGGAGGGGAAGAGGTCACTGCTTCTTTCCTGCTACCATTCTCACCCCTAGGGCCACCCCTGGTGCCCACACAGAACAATACTAGTCAAGGAGGCCTTTGGTGCTCCTAACCTCCATTCCCTTCCCTGCTGCACCATCAGGCTCTTTCTTCTCCTGCAGCTGGGCCTCAAGGCAAATAGAGTCCAGAGCCCAGCCCCACTTCCTTCTGCCAATGGCCTCATGACATCCCCTATGTCCTCCACACTAGTGTCACCATCCATGTTGGGTATGACAGTTGTGGAAGGAGAACAGGCCTGGGGTAGGGGTGGGCAGTGGACACAACCCAGAGGATGGTTACTAGGCAGGGCTAGGGCTGAGTGTTACCTGGTGTCACTGAGGATCACAGAATGTCATTACTTGAAGGGACCTTAGTGGAGAAACTGAGGCCCAGAGAAGGGAAATTACTTGGTCAGGGGGTCAGATAACGTAAACGATTACGCTTTGGACACCGAGGGGTCATTTTTGGTCATTCCTGATAATCACCAACTAGCACTGGCCCTTCCTTCTTCTAGAAGCAGAGAAAACTAGTCATCCATGTCCTCAGGGATATGGACCATGTATCAGTGCAGCCGCAGGTTTTTGTGGAGCTGAGGATCACCGCCACCAACATATGGGGGACAGACACTGTTCTGAGCCTCCCTTAGCATGGCCGCTGTGCGCTCAGGGCTGGAAGCCAAACAGTCCCTATCGGCCTGAGTATTCTTATCTTCAGCCCCCAGGTGCTGCAGGGCATCCCAGGTGAGGCCTGGGTGGTGGAGTCTCAGGGCTAACTAAGGGATTTTGGGATAACAGCAGAGGCAGTGATCAGTCCTGCCCTGGGGAACACTACCTCCCTGCAGAGGCCTGGGTCTCTCCAGCTGCCTCTAGCCCAATTTTCAGGGAGGCTCTGGGAATGACAGGAATGTGGAGGTGACGTCAATGGTGACATTCGTAGCCACAGTTACACAGCCAGCCGAGGGGATGGCTCCAGCCAGGGCTGACAGCTGATGGAGACAGGGCGGGGGAGGGTAAGACCTTTTTCTATGTCTTCCAAACATGTAGCCTTATGTTCAGCAGAGCTGATCACTGGAATACATGGGTGAAGTATGGCTGGGACACCCTGGGTATGTGAGAAGGTCCGTGTGTCTGTATGGGACAGGGTGTGTGCATCCTTCCATCTCTTTCTTTCTGTGAGTTTGTGTGTCAGTAGGCACCTGCTTGCCTGTGTCTGTCAGTGTGACCTGTCTGTATATTTGTGTGTCTGTGTGAGAAAGAGAGAAAACAAGAGAGAGTTTGCTTATGCATATCTATCCCCTGCCCTTCCAATCCTTTTTCAGTGAACCCCTCCTGATCTCTAACCTCATGCTTTCCCCAGGCCTCACAATTTTTCCCTCTGAAACAGAGCTTCTGGGTAGAGGAGAGAAGTAGGAAAAGAGAGTGGGTCATTGTGGAGGTGAGGGGGGTGTGTGTGTGGGGAGGGTATGTGTGACGATACTATCTTCTTTACCCCTTTTCCTACCTATTTCCCCCGAATTCCCTGAACACAGATTATACCATTTTAAAGTTGGAAGGGACCTCAGGCATCATCTAATTCATTAATAAAAATAATGACTTTTAAATTATTATTATAGCTGACATTTACGTAGTACTGTCGGGCTGCAAAGCCCTTTTGCTGACATTAGCTCCTTTGTCTTCTGTAATAACTCCAAGAGGTACCATTGGTATTATTATCATCCCCATTTTACAGAAGTTAGGTGACTTGCTCGGGTCATACAACATTAAGTGAAACCAAGTATCTCCTGACTCTAGGAAATGAGAAGGCTGACCAGAACTAGAAGATGCCTAGCGGCCATGACAGACAGAGGTTCTAAGGATGCTCCCCCATGTCCCCACAGGCCTCCCCCACCTTAAGCTCCTCAGACCCCCAGGATCCCAGTTGTCCAGTTCAGCTCTTAGCTCCCTCTCTCATCTCAAAGCCTTTCTCTCTGTAGGTACTTGTCCCTCCCCTCCAGTTCTACTCTTTTCCAAAAGAGCTTTCCTGAACCCCACAGACCTAATTCTGGACAGAGAGACTCACCAACAGGACTGGGACAGGCTCCATTAGCACTATTAAGGTCTCCTCCCAGCATGGCCCCTAGGGAAGGAATAGAAATATAAGAGAACTGGAAAGTCTCAGGCCTTGGGGTAAAAAGCATGTGTGCTTGTTTGATGGGGGAGGGATCCAGAGACAGGAGGAGACAGGACAGACTCTCAGGAATGTTCAACTCCACCCCATCTAATGGGACTTCTCCCACTCCCCTACCCCCAACCCCAGACAGTAGACAAAAAGACAGGAAAAACAGCAACAGAGAAGCTAAGGCTGATTATCCAGCTGGTCAGAACTCTGAACAGAGGGCAGCTAGGTGGTGCAGTGGATAGAGTACCAGCCTTGGACTCAGGAGGACCTGAGTTCAAATCCAGCCTCAGACACATAACACTTACTAGCTGTGTGACCCTGGGCAAGTCACTTAACCCCACTGCCTACCCAAAACCAAAAAAACCCCCAAACAAACAAAACTCTGAACAGCAATTCTGGGAGGACGAGAAGGGGTTGGAAGGAAGAACCCCTAGAAGGGGTGGGGGCTGGGGGCTTAGAAGAGGTATCACACTTGGGAAGTTTCTCTAGACTACACAAATACAAAATGAGCCTGAGGAAGTGACAGCATGCATCTATGGATGCAAAGAGGCATAAGGGGGTGATGAAGCCATGCTTATCCAGCTCCAGCACTGAGTCTGAGCTGGGAAGGGGTCATAGGAGATGATGAAAGGGAAGAAAGGGGAGGCTCTGTGTCTGAAGGAAGACTCAGGCTGCAGAAAAACCAATCCCAAAGCATTCTGAACTATCCCCTCCTCCTATACTCACCAGCACTGGCTGGCCGCTGGGGCAGCCCTGGTGACACGCTGTTCCTCTGTAGGGCCGGCTGCTGGGGGGACAGGAGCCTCGGGTCTGTGAGGGACGATGTAACCAGTGACGGGGTCACCAGGGAACCCCCAGGGTTGCTGAACTGAAGTGAGTTCTGATTGGACACAGGCACCGTGACCGGCATGGCGAAATTCGGGGCTGGGACTGCAGACTGGATAGAGAAAGGGAGGGGAGATAGGTGTTAGAAAGATTGTCCCTTCTCATAGCCCATCTCCCCAGAGTGCCCCCCAAGGACAGTGATGCTGGTGAAGGTACTCCTAGCTAAATCCAACAGAGCAAGAATGACACTAGATAGCAGGGTGATAGGTAATAATTCCTGGATCTGAGCCCTAGGGCCTTGCCAGGGAAAAGACCTTCCAACAGGAGACAGGAAACAGTCCCTCAGTCTTCTCCTCTCTGAGCTCAGGGCCCAGGAGCTGAGGTGGGTTAGGTCCCCAGCCAGGCAGGACACACAGGAAGCTGGTTAGGAATCCCAGGTTGAGATCCAAATTCACACACGCGGAGCTGTTACTGACTGGGGCTGGGTGGTGGAAGGGGAAGTGTTTCTCCCAGCCTCACTTGCATCCTGGCTGCTGCACAATCAGTTCATCTCCAGTCTTACCTCCATCCTTCTGGTTCTCACTCTAGATCCCCACAGACACTGAGCTTATAGCTGTGGGAAAAGTCTCTGTATCAGAGGACATCCCATAGGAAGATTCCAGGATTTCCCTGTCCAGGGAGCTGGGGACAAAGAGTTCTCTCTCCTCAGGGTCTGATTTCCATCCTTCATGCCATAAGACCAAATCTCTCCCACCCAAATTCTGCCTAAGATGGGTGTCTTGGTATCAATTATGGCTAGTAATGACTAGCCATCATTCAGGAGCAGAGAACACAGCTTCTAACAAAGGCCCTTCTCATGGAATAGCTTCCATAGGTATTCCAGGGTCAGAAGTTAAAGGGAAAGATGGTAACTTGGGTTATCATCTTGGCTCTGCTACTAATTCCCTGTGTGACCCTGGCCAAGCTATATGACCACTCTGGGTTTCAATTTTGTAGAATCACAGAACTTGTGAGCTGGAGAGAGAGGCCTTCGAGGGGTATCCAGTCCAATCTCTTCATTGTGGAGAAGAGGAAACTGAGACTCCCAGGGAGCAAGTGACTTGCCCAAGGTCACCCTGTGAATTATAGAGTTCAGAGCCAGAATCAAGGTTTCCTGCTGCCCAGTCCAGTCCAGGCCTCTTTCTACCACAGGCCAGGCTTCCTTATCTGTAAAATGAGGGGTATGGAAGACAGGATTCTCTAAGGCCCCTTCCAGCTCCAAAATTCAATGATGCTAAGAACTGGGGTGACTGTTCCTCATTTTTGTTGGGGGAAGGGGATTGGGGGCTGCGAAGCCACACCATGCATGGGGGGAAAGGCTCCCCCAGCTCTCCATGCGGCTACTCACGGCCAGTCTATAACTCTGCATCATTTTATCAAACTCCTCGTCTATCTTTTTATATTTCTCCTCCGTCTGGGGGGTCAGGGCAAACACCTCGTCCACCTCGGGGCTCTCACACTCCCTGTGCTTCTTGTGCAGCGCCTGGGGGCAGGGGGTGTAGGGAGGGAAAGGAGAGGAGGGGGGAAGGGGGAAAAGGAAAAGAGAGGAAAGGGAAAAGGTAAAGGAAGGAGGGCCCGGGTGGCAGAGGAGGCCAGGGAGGGATGAGAGGGTTGGAGAAGGAGAGAAAAGGAGCAAGGAAGAAGAGAGGGTTGGAGAGAGAGAGAGAGAGAAGGAGCAAGGAAGAAGACAGGGTTGGGGAGAAAGAAAGAGAGAGAAGAGAAGAAAGTGGAAGGTTGGAGAGGGAGAGAAAAGCCAAGAAAGACGGAAGACGGGAGAGAAGCAAGGATGGAGGGGGAGAGGGCAGAAGGAAGAGACGGGCCAGAGGAGGAGTTCATGAAGGGAGAGGGTTTGAAAGGAAGAGGGTTGAGGGGAAGGTGGGGAGCGGGGCAGGGGATGAAAAAGGGGAGGGGATGGGTTTGGAGATGAAGAATAGGAGAGGCCAGGAGGGAGAAGAGAGGAAAGTGAGAGGACAGAGAAGAGGACAGAGAGAGATGGAGGGGGCAAAGAGGAGGGTGAAGGAACAAGGAGGAGGGGAGAGGGTTGGGAGCAAACAGAGAGAGCAGTGAGTGGGCTGGGCTCACCCCGTAGCGCCGGAAGAGCCCGTCCAGCTCCTCGCTGGCCGGCCGGTACTTGTCCTCCAGCAGGGGGCTCTGCTCCAGGGAGTCCTCCCCATCGGGCTCGGGGCTGTCACAGCCATTGAAGCCTTTCTTCCTCAGGGTCTGCAACAGGCAGTGCTCAGGGAGGCCCAGGGCCCCCCAGACTATCCCCCCAGCACCCTTTTCCCTACCTCCCCGCAGGGGGCCCCATGTGTGACAAATCATCACTGGGTACCCAACCCAGCCATACCCACTCAGCCCACATAGTTCTGGGCTTCAGAGGCCACAAGGGAAGTGAGCATCCTGGGGGCCTGGGGACTCCCAGGCCCTAACGTCTGGGCCAGGCCCATCTCTTTTAGGGTCCAAAGAGGTTCAGATATCTCTGGGTGAGATTGGCTCATGTTCTTTATCTCAGCTTTGAGGCCCTACTCAGGGGCCCATGAGTCTCCCCCAAGTAATATGGGTCTGGGGACCACCCCAGTAAAGGGAGGGAAAATCTGGAGAGCCATACAGTGAGACAAAGACAAAAAGGGAGATGTGTACACTATGAGGTAGAGGGACGGAGACAGTCATAGAGAGGGAGGTGGCAGAAAGAGCTCTGTGGGAGGACAGGGGTGCTGAAAGACAGTGACAAAGAAAGGCAGAAGAGCCCCCTGGGATGGCTACATGGAGAGAGCAGAAGGGAAAAGACAGAGAGAAAGAGAAACGGTGACAGAGAGGGAGGAGACGAAGATGGAAGATGACTACACAGAGAGAAGGTGGCAAAGATAGCGATGGACATGAGAGAGGAAGTCACAGAGAGAGAGAGCTGCACTAGCAGAAGATCCAGAGAGGCCACCACATCGCATCTCCCCAGTCCTGGACCCCTCGACGCCGCTGCTGTGCAGTCATGGGCTCACCTCAATGATGTCTGCATTGGTGCGACTCTCATGGGGCTCATTGTATTCTGTATACTTGAGGAGGACTTTGTCCATGTCAGTGCTGGCATACTGGAACAGCTTGTTGGAGTGGTTGAAGATGATGAGGGCAATTTCACAGTCACACAACACACTCAGCTCATAGGCTTTCTTCATTAACCCAAACTTCCTTTTGGTGAATGTCACCTGCAGGAGAGAAGCAGCAGCAGACAGTCAGAGCCATTCAGCAGCTATCTGACCTTGGGGCAAGTCACAAACCTCTCTGGCCTTTGGTTCCTGCATCTATAAAATGGGGATATTAAGAACGTCCCTACTGACCTCATGGGGCTATAGGGAGGATCAAAGGAGGTGATGCATGGGACACTAAACGGAAGAGGAACTTTGAGTAAGTAAAAAAGCAATGAAGGTCCTGTAGAAGAGACAATGAAGCGTCCATCCTACAGCAGAAGTGAATTTTAGGAGTGGCCTGTGGTTTCTTTGATTTCTTTTGACTTTAAAGTAATGGGAGCACTGTCTGTACCATTTCTTGGTTTCCCTCTATAGGACAGCTCAGTCTAGCAATGCAATGCAGTCATGGCCATATTAGCATACAGGGAGAGAGGCAGTATGTTATAGTGGACAAAGGGCTAGCCCCGGATGCCAGAAAACCACGAAAGACCCAGTTGGAAACCTACCTCTCACATGACCAGGTCTCTCCTGACTCCAAATCCCATGCTCTTTCCACTGTACCACACTGCCCCAATTAGGAAAACGAGAGACCAAATCTAGATGGAGCCTCCAACTAAGGGGATGTGAGAGAATCACAGAAGCAGGGGAGGCTTATGTCTTTGCTAGGGTTCAAAGAGCCACGCAGGTTGAGAAAAGAATAAAGATGGAAGCTCTGGGGCCAAAGGCAAAGGTATGCTGGAATCCCCAGGAGGATGACAGAGGGGCAGCAAGGCTTGAGGCTCAAGGCTGAATGCTCTATGGGATCACAGAATAAAATGAGAGACTCTCAAAAGTGGAAGAGTCTTGAGAGGCAAGTTTGTTCAGCCTGAGCAGAAATTCCTTTGCAATGTCCCTGGTCAGCAGTCACCCAGTCTCCTCCTAAAAATCTGCAGGGAAGGGGAGCCCACCATCTCTTGAGACAGCCCATTCTACTTTGGAGTAGCCCTACAGCAAATTTCTCCTTACATTAAGCCTACACCTGCCTCTCTGAAACGTCCACCCGTTGCTCCTAATTTGACTGTCTTAGCCCAGAGAGAACTACTCCTAGAACTGTTTTCTGGAGCCCAGAGAGAACTACTCCTAGAACTGTTTTCTGGAGGACATAGTCAGAGAAATGAAAATAACAAGAAAATGTGGAAGGACAGAGTCACTAAGAAAAGGAGGTCTTCAAGAGAAGACTAAGGGGCAGCTAGGTGGCACTGTGGTGAGGGCTCTGGCCTTGGAGTCAGGAGGACCTGAGTGCAAATCCACGCTCAGAGACTTGACACTTAATAGCTGTGTGACCCTGGGCAAGTCACTTAACCCTGACTGCCTCCCCCCCCCAAAAAAAGTCATCTGGTCTTCTCTTATATTTATTGGGGTTTTTTTGGGGGGGTGAGGCAATTGGGGTTAAGTGACTTGCTCAGGGTCACACAGCTAGTACGTGTTAAATGTCTGAGGCAGGATTTTGAATGCAGGTCCTCCTGACTCCAAAGCCAAAGCTCTATCTACTGCACCCCCTAGCTGCCCTTCTAGATGACTTCTTATTGGGATGGTTGTAGAGGAAGTGATTTTTTCTTAAGTATTGGGTTGGACTTGACTCTTCAATCTTAACAATCCTCTAAATATTTGAAGACAACAGCATGTTTCCCCAGCTGCCCAAGTAAACCTGCTCTTCTCCAAGCTAAACTTTCCTGTTCCTTCGTCTATGTTCTTTCAAAACTGTGGCACCCAGAACTGGACACAGGAATCTGGATGTGCGCTCAACAGGGCAAAGTTCAACAGAAGCATCACTTGCCTGGTCTGGGACACCAGATTTCTCTCACTCTGGCTCAAGGAGGCACCATGGTACAATGGCTCATGAGCCAGAGGACCCAAGGTCAAAGCTCGTCTCTGACGCTTAAACTCCCTAGAGCTCAGTTTCCTCATCTGTACAATGAGATGGCCTCGGGGGTCCCTTCCGGCTCTAGCTCTATGACTCTATGATCCTAAGGTTGCACTGGTGATGTTGGCTACTGTGTCACACTATGGGCTCACAGGGAGCTCCAGTGCACTAAAACCCTCAGGGTTTTTTTGCTGTTGTAGTTGTTTTCCCCTAACAGGTAATCAGGCTGGGAAGGCTTCCTGAAGGAGAGAGTATGAGTCAGAGAGCTGGGGGCAACTCTCAGCCCTGCTGCTTACTTCCTGGGTGACCTTGGTCATTTAACCTTTGATGACCTCACCTTCTTCCTTGTAAAGTTGATGGTTATAACTTAGAAAATCCCTCCCCAGTGGAAATCCGATGGTTCCAATGACCATTGGTTCAGATGGAAAGGAAGGGAGGGACAGGACCTAAGTCATTAGCAAAGGGAAGGGCAGGTTTGTGTGCCTAAAACAGAACGAAAAGCTGGGGAGCACTGCAAACGATGTGTGGAGAATGTGGGGTGGGGGGAAAGAACCTAGCAACTGCCCCTTCTGTCCCTAGTCATTACAGCTCAACCTCACAACGATCTCTTCAGTAGCTTTCCTGCAATGACAAAGGGGGGAAGAGTGTGCCAACCTACACCCCACTCTCTCCCAAGCCAACCTTTTCCCACTGGCCACAATACTCTGGCTTACCCCTACATGAAAGCTTGGGGGTAGGAGTGGGGGAGAACCTGGGAACCCAGAGTATCACAGGATTTAGAATGAGAGGAAATGGTGACCATATGCACCTTCTCTAGATAAACTCCCCCAAATGAACCACACCCCCTTTCCACCACACCTTTCCCCACTGCTATCAATGGCTTGGTCTGAGCTTCCCCTTTCCCTCTACCCCACTCTGGCCCTTACCTGCCGGTTCCGCTCATCAGTGATCCGCTGAATCTGGATCTTTTTCCGCCCCATCTTCTCCAGAGATCCTCAACCCTGGGGAGAGGTGGGGAGGGGAAGGCCTTGCTGGGAGGTGGGTCCTCGACCGGCGGCAGTGTTAGAGTGTGCTCATGAAAAGGCTCGTCCCTACAGGAGACTAGTTCATGGTCCTCAAGGGCAGTTCCAGCACAGCCACCTGGGTAGGCAGAAGAACGGAAAACAGGAGAACAATGGGACCAGGGCTGGGAGCAAGCAACCAGCCTAGCTTGCAATTATGCAACAAAACTACTTCTTACATGCAGGAAATGTTCGATGTGAAAATAGGCTTAAATTCCTCTACTTCACTCAAAAATGTTGGTTCCTGGACCAACATTTCTCTGGACAGTTTTACTTAGACTCACAGAATCTGAGTTGGAAGAGGCCTTGGATGTTATCCACTGCAACAGCTACTTAAATAACAACGACAACAATAATAACTGCAGCAAACATTTACACAGCGAGTTAAATGTCAGACAGAAGTTAGATTCAAACCCAGGGCTCTTCTGATTCCATGGTCAGCACTCTTTCCAATACCCTGGATTGCTCTGTGAATCCTGCTCATGAAATTGATCTATAACATCACAGCACTGCCAGGCTTCTGTTCTTTCCCAGAACAATTGCTTAGAACCCTGAGCCCATACTACAGCAGCCCAGAATCTCATTGTCTGGGTCCTGAGTGTAAGCCTTGGGTACTGATGTGCTCTCAGTCACACAAAGGTATTGCTGAATGCATCCCGGATCTAGAACCAAAGCTTGGAATCTCAGACTCTTAGATCTCGAAGGAATATCAGGGGGTCAGGCCAAGCACCTAAGTGAAAAGAAATTGTCCCCAACGAGTAGTCACCCAGCTTCCACCTAAACACTTCTAGCGATGGGCAGCTCCCTACCTTACCCACTCAGCCCATTCCATTGGTGAACAGCTCTGTGAGAACCTTTTGGCAACAATCATACACTTGTGTTCCTGGTTCTCCCTGAGGCCAAGCCAAACAAAGCTAACAGCCCAACACACACACACACACACACACACACACACACACACACACACACACACGAACGACAAAAACCTCTGTCCCAACACCCAGAGTCATGGTTGAACACACTTGCCCATAACTGAGAGGAGGTAATAATCGCAGATGCACAGGCACTGATTGGCCATAAATACAGTAACCTCCCTCGCCTCCAGGCTTCAAACAGTTAATGTGTCTTTTTGCTCAGCATCTCACTCTACTTCTGACTCAGCTACCCCAGCCCTCAAACAGATGCAAACTAAGATCTGATTCCTGGCCACTAGGGGTAGAGAGAGATTAAATGGAGGGGGAGGCCATGGAGTGAGTCTGGCTAAGGTCAGTCTATCTATGCCTGCACCCCCCAAGCTATACCACCAGGGACTTCTCCTTGGGCAGCAGCATAGCCCCCCACTGGCTACCCTCAAAGTCCCTCCTGTGATCCAACTGCCATCCTTTCTGCTAGAATGTCAGCTCTTCTAGGGCCCCACCTCTACACACACCAAAGAATTTCAGCTCAGACAAGGGACGAGTCAACAAACTTTTATTAAGTCCCTACTATGTGCCAAGCACTGTGCTAAGCACAGGAGATACCAAGAAAGGCAAAAGACAGTCTCTGCTCTCAAGAAGCAGTGTGTCAAGGCTGAGTGAGTCAGGAGACGCTGGCTGGGGTGGCTGAGCTGTGGGGTGGTGGCTGGGGCTGTTACTAGGGCCAGTGTCTTGGCTCTCTGCTGCCAATACCGTCTCCTCCTCCACCCCACCCTCCGAGCTGAAATAACCAAGGTCCCTCCTCCCTCATTCCAGTGTTTCTGCTCCCAGGGAAACCACTCCTGCAGGCTGGGGGTCCTTCCAGTTCAGCCCAGGGAACTCCCTCCCTTGAGAATCCCTCCTCTGAAGCAGTAGCAGCACATTCCTTGTCAAGTCTACTTTTCTTTGAGTCTCAGCTTCCAGCCCCTCTGACTTCATTCTGATATAACCACAACAATGGCATCAGAGCAATCTCCCAGCCACACCTCAGCCACTACAACTGTTTATCCTCTTCTCCTACCCTCTCTTCCAGCACGATGGTGTAAAAGAGGGAAAAGGAGAAGAGTGCTGGAATCTGAGTCACACAACCTGTGTGAGAATCTCACATCTGTAACTTATTACCTGGGTGACCTTGGGCAAGTCATTTCCTCTCTTGGGACCTAAATTTTCTCATCCATAAAATCAAGTGGTTCATCTACACGATCTCCAAGGGCACTCCTGACTCTAAACTGTATGACCCCCCAAGATTATCCCTGATAGCATCTGTTCAAGTCAGAGCCCCCCAGGCTTTCGAATGGGTAGATGGGATCCATGCTTGAGACCTAACCATCTTAACTCAGTCCGAGCTGGTGGTGATTGCCTCTCCAGCCAGGCTGGCAACCATGCCATGAGGATTTGTTGCAGGAACTGGGAGTGTTTAGCCTAGAGAAGACAAGATTTAGGGGAATATGACAGCTGCCATCAAGCATCTGAAGGGTTGCCTTTTAAAAGAAGGATGAAATCTGTTCTACTTGGCCCCAAGAGGGGCAAGATTAAAAGAAATGGGTAAAAGTTCCTGGGAGGTGGATTTTAGTTCACTAGAAGGAAAAAATCTCCCAGCAAAGCTATTCAAAAATGGAGTGGACTGCCTCTACAAGCAGTGAGTTCCACATCACTGGTGGTGTCCAAGCAAAAACTAGATGAATATGTATTAAGCAGATGTCAAGGGGATTCCTGGAAGGGTATGTGTTGAACTCAAAGGCCTCTGAACTCCCTTCCAAATCTGTGTCTGTGAGTTAATTATGGGGCTGGACATTATGATACTGAGGATAATGATGATTATCATTATAAACAATTAACATCTATATAGCATTTTAAAATTGGCAAAGTGCTTTCCTCCCAGTAACACCAGAAGATGGCCAGTGCACGTCATGGGACCACAGATTTAGAACTGAAAGGGCCCCTTTTACAAATGAGGAAGCTGAGATTCTATGAGATGTAACTTGCCCAAGGTCTCACAGATAGCAAACGTAGGGGGGAGATTCAAATCCAGGTCTCTTGGCTCCACAGCCCAGTCAACTCCAAGGCCTCTAAGCCTACACTCAGGGTAGTAGAAATGCATATTTTTGAATGTAATAAACAATTTGGCATATAGAGCCTAGAGGGCTAGGAACTTGGTATGAAGGAATTCATCAGGTGAAGGAGGAGACAGATCCAAGAGTAACTGCTTTAAGTGAGACTCCCTCATTGAGGCACCCAGAACCATAAAACAAGATGAGTAAATGAAGTAATTATCATACACACACCAGCCCACTCTAGTGTTAATGACTTACATTTCTGAAGTGCTTTAAGGTTTACAAAAGCTTCTTCCCCACAATAACCCTTTAAGGTAGGCAGTACAAATACTACTGCTCTCATTTTGCATATGGGGAAACTGAGGCTTGGTGAAGTGAAGCAACTTACTCACAGATTCTAATCCAGGATTCAGAATCCAAAGTTGGTACCCTTTCTGCTATCCACTGTTTTCTTCCCACTATCATACTACCTTAGAAACTGTTCCCAGTAGTCTAACCTCCATCCACAATGCCCCCAATGGAGAGAGAGCCCAAGCCTCTTTCACCAATTCTCGTCTCAACCTTCTGTACTCCCTGAAGTGAGTCTCTCCTAAAGTCTAACCTTCATTCCTCCCACTGCAAAATGGGTGCACCCCCCCATTACCCTAGGGAATTTCCCTTTGGTGGGCCAGTGAATCCCCTCTCAGCCTTCTCTTCTCTGGCCCCAGGGCCCTGCTCTCCTCCCTGCTCCCAGAGTGGATAGGGATCTAAAGCCATCTAAGGAGCAGCCCCTGGCACATGGAGATAGAAAGGATGGGGTTGCCATGGTAACAGTTGCCTGGCAACCAGTTCCCTGGCTGGTCTCCTACAATACCACCCCCCCAACCCCCACCCCCGCCTCCTGTCAGGGGGAGCTGGGATGGGTGAAGGATCAGTATTACTAAAGGAAAAGGGGGTATGGGGGTGGTGTGGGGGCCAGATAGGGAAACAGAGACCTGAACCTAAAAATAAAGGGTTAAAGTGACTGGTTCCTACCCCCACCCCTTAGGTCTCAAAGTATTTTATAGACCCAGCTCTTCTTCCCTCAAAACCTCCAGCCTCTACATGCTGGGCAGTCCTTTCTGCTGTCTAGCCTCTCTGGCCTTCTTCCAGGGACTGTTCAAACTAGTGCATTCTTCTTTCAACCCTCCCCTCTACTCTGATCAGGCACCAGTTACACAGTTTCCTGCTCTCCTGCTAGGAAGTTCACCCTCAATCCCACTTGTTTCAGCATCTCCAACATCAGCCATGGGATCAGGATATTTTGTTGATGCCTGGAGAAGTTGGAGGGAGAGCTGACTGGACCTTGAAAATAGAGACAGGAAGGGTCTCAAATATAGATAGGCCTTCTGCAGTAAGGCCAGTCTTTCCAAAGTCCCCTCCCACCCAATCAGAGAGACTTTAGTGAACACCTGTGCTTGCTTAATTAGCCCTCTGTTTAATTACCTAATCAACTGCCAGAAGCCAGGGATGACACACATGAGCTCCAGATGTGAACCCCTCTCTCCTCTCTTCCCCGCCTTCCCATTCTCCTCCTCCAGGAAGCCTTCCCATCCAGACAGCACCCTCTTCCCACCTTCCATCTCTAGCCCAGGCTCTCTGCTCCCTGCCACATGGTATCTAGGGCTCTCCCTGACTGGGTCACCCACTTCTGGTTGGATGGAGGATCAGCCCCTGCATGGTGATGGAGGGACAGATTGGAGGACTGTGCCAAGTTTCACCTCCCCCTTCCTGCCAGGATCTGTCTTCCTTCCTCTCACCCTTCTCGGTTCTGTGACCCTGGTTCCTCAGCCACAGCTGTGACTCTCGATGCCACCTAAGAGTCACGGCTCAGAGTGAACTGCTGATTCATTCACTTCTGGGGAGGAAGGGCACCAGTGGGAGCTTTTTTGGGGGGGGGAGTGCCAAGAGAAAGCAGGCTTGGAAGAAGTTTTACATGGGACTGGGCAAAAGCACACAGCACAACCTGTTTATAGGGCAGAAAGGCTGATGTTAATTCGCAGCAGCAGGTCAGAGGGTAGATTACAAGACTGCCCTGGGACACTGGTCAACAG